TTCGCTGGAAGTAACTTCTTCGTCGTGTTCCATACTTATTGAGCTCAATAACTTTGAAAGAAATACTGCAATCGGCAAAAGGTTGAGTTCGAACTGATGTCGAAGACAGAGTCCTAACCGCGGTCGCAAGTATTTTTGAAATAAGACATTTAATCGCATAAGCATTGCAAAGACAACCTTTATTTGAGATAAGACATCCTTATAGCTATTCAGACACATTGTAATATGATCTACAAAAGGCCAAGTAGATCTCTCAAGCGATATTCCTTAGGTCAAACACAAATAAACACATCGATTCGAATGGTGCCTCTCAGGCACCGCTCGCGTTATCGCATCACATGCAGTGGTGCCTGAGAGGCACCGCTCGAGTGCAAAGGGTTAATTTATTTGTCAACATATTTCTTAAGAATCCTAGAAGACATTTTATCGGTGTCATAAAACTGCTCCTTTTTAAGTGCATAAAAACTAAAACTTTTGTAATAGTATTACGGATAAGTAAAGTTAAACAATAAAAGGATTATAAATATATATAGTAAAATAATGCTTTTACAAGTACTTTTACTGAGCAGTGTTGAAACTTGTTTTGGTAAAGAGATGAATTTGTTGCTGCCTACAGTACATGCAGTACAATACATAGAAATGCAAGGATTTTTAATCTTTACCGATAGAAATAATAAACTTTTAATTTTAAGTAGTAGTATGTAATATTAAATAATGATTTTCTTAGTATCAGTAAAAAAACAAAATTACAAATTGACAAATTGTTGAACATTGAAAATGCCGTGTTTCGCAAAACAAACATTTATTACAAAGCAATACGTAGAGACAGAAGCAGAAATACAGAGATGGAGCAAATCATGTTGTAACAAATCATAAACAAATAGAATGGGAATAAGTTTCGGATATTTCGAACCTCACAGAAAGCTAATGCATCGGACATGACAGAAAGTTATACTTCCTTTTAACCAATAAGAATGCGATTACTAATATCTCAACACAAATTTAGTCGAAATTTTAGCAATATTTTGGTAAAAAAAGGTTAATTTTGGAGTTACAGCCATGAATACACGCATATTCTAGAATAGTATTTTCTATTTTTTTCTAGAATAGTAATCATGGCGGAAAACAAAAGATCAACCATTTGGAGTCATTTCACCAAGGCAGACTAAAATTATGCATTCTGCAATGAATGCAATAAAAAAATTTCTATTTTAAATGGAAATACGTCAACAATGCATCATCATCTAAGCAGCGTTCATAACATTGACGTTGACAAAACAGAGGCAAAAATGACAGCTAAAAAACAAAAACTTTGGATAATTTCGTAAAACATCAGTTGAAGAGATTGTTTCAAAAATGACTGCAGTAGATGGTTTATCAATTCGTAAAATCACTCAGTCAGAGTTTATTCGATAATCATTGGCCTTAAGGGGTATGAAGCTTCCAGGCAACGAAAAATCTGTAATGGCTCTTGTTCACAACCATATGGAAACTGTGAAACAAAAAATCAAAAATGATATTAAAAAAGATATTGCCGAATCAAAGAAATTCTCAATTATCAGGGATGAATGGACCAGCAATGGTAACCGGAGATTCCTGAATATAAATATGCATACTGCCTACCAAAAAAGCATCAATCTTGGATTGGTAAGAATTTTTGGAAGTTACGATGCCAAAAAAAAAAAAAAAAATGCAAGAACTCATAGAAGAGCACCTTGAATCTTTTGGTCTATCATTTAAGAATGATATTGTATCTACTACTGGAGATGGAGCAAGTGTTATGATAAAGTTTGAAAAAGAATCACCTGCTTTTTATCAAACATGTCTTATGCATGCCTCACATTTGGCTGTTACAAAACTTTTTATAAAGAAAAATCAGGGACAAAAGAAAATATAGATGAAAGTTCAGGAGAGACTGATGATGTTGATAATGGTTTGAACATTAATGAAACTAAATTACAGAATGAATCGTTCAAGGAAAACATAAATATTGTGAGACGAATTGTAATTTTTTTCAAAAATTCTGTTGTGCGTTCAGATTTGTTCAAGTCTAAATATAGAGAAAAATTACAGATAGAGCAACAACCCTCACTTGATTGTAAAACCAGATGGAATTCAATGCTGAAAATGCTTGAAACATTTGTAAAATTGTATGATGTTACAAAGGATGTGTTCATTGAACTTGGATCTGAACGTTAAGAAATTTAAACCTGGAATTAATAAAATCGATAGTCTTGGCATTAAAACCAATTGAAGTGGCACTTAACGCTATGGGTGAAAAACAAGCCACTTTACGAACAGCATATATTTCTATCAACTTTATGCAAGAGAAGTTAACTGAACAAGAATCTGAAATAAGTAGTTCTCTTTCTGAAAATATTGGTTTTTACATCAATAGCAGGATCAACAAAAACATCATAGATTTGATGAATTCACTAAACAACTTAAATAAAATGCCATCAAAAGCTTCTATAGAACTAGCAGCTGCTTTGATGAAGCGTTTATTTCCGTCACTAGATTCATCACCAAATTCATCAAATGAAAATTCAAGCAGTGAAGCAGAAACAACTATCAAAGTTGGTGCTTCTCTTGAAGAACAACTTAGAGTACTATTAGAAGCTCCAACCAGCAAACTACCGGAAGATAACCACTTTAAAAAATTAAGTCAAGAATTTACTTTGTCAAAAAGTAATGGTGAATTGACTGTAAATTTAAAGCGGTTACTTGAAGTTATTTACAGTAGGAAACCAACGTCGATTGATTCCGAGAGGGCATTTTCCGTGGCCAACAATTTTTGCACCAAAATTAGGTCAAAGCTATCAGATAAATCACTACATGCACTAGTGTTTTTAAAATATTTTTTCATTAATATAAATGTATAAGTACAGAAAAAGTTTATTTTAAATTTCTAAAAAATATTATTTTAATTATAAGTCCATTATAAGTTTTGATAATGTAAGTATGTCAACTTCAAATGCTCGAACGTCCAAAAAAGCACTCGAGCTCGAGCTTAACTGAGCTTCAAATCATCGAGTTTTATTACCAAACCCTATTTCTCACCAATGTAGAAATGCACCAGTCAACATACTCACCAAGCCTGTTGCAGAATACAAGTACCCTTCTGGCTATTCTCTACGAGGCAGTTCCCAAATTTTAATCATTTCTTTCAAAATACAAGGAAAATTTCAACAATAATAGTTAATTTATATTCTTTCTCATAAAAACAAAATATAGTTTATTAAGGTCATACATCAAATAAAAGCATACATGTTATAAGTGTGCTGTTACATCGCATGGGTTCTTAATTGGCGCTAAATCATGCTGCTTGGTGACAGTTTTACGGTTGATGGGGTAATTCTTAAGTACTGTATCTTATAAATGTATGGTCATTGCTAAGTTCATCCACACAGTAATATACACATTAATTGTTAATTTTATTTTTATCGTGTTTAAAAGTGATTTGGTAAATTGAAGCTTTCTTTCTCTACTTAGAATTTTCTCAGTATAAAAATATAAGAAAATCACGAAATAAAGTTTGCTAAAGAACAAAAAATTTATAATTATAATTAATATATTTTATGTCATAATCATAATATAAATAGTTGAATAAACTGAATCGTGCATTATAAAGTGAATTTAAATCAGTTTTGAGTTCTTTTAAAATAGTGTTGCCATGCAATGTGAAAACCTCCCAGAAATTCAAGGTTTTTGACAGGAAGACTTCCCAGTTTTTCATATTTCAAGTGTTGGCAGCTATGACATTGAATCATTATTTTAAATAAAATTTTTAGATGCTGCTGACTTTAAAATTACAACACTGACATGTTTATCTTCTGAAGAGAGATCCGTGATTGAAAGTTCAATGTTTACAGACTGAAGATTCAGTTCAGATATTGTTTTACTAGACCAGGACTTCTCAGCCTTTTTTGCCCTTTGTACCTCTTTTCACAATGGCTAGAAGTTCATTTCCTTCCCTCCTTTCAAAATTTGAAAAATATGTATACATTTATTTAGATTAAATAACGTTTTTAACATGTTTTGTTAATTTAACAGCAAAAAGTATAAAAGATGTTGATAAATGCAACAGCTTAAGTAAAAATATTTTTAAGTGAATTTCTTTCTTATGTAGAATTCAGCATTTGAGGATGCTAATTTTTGAATTGTATGTTGCATTTTGAAAGCATTTGGAATTTGTAGCAAGATGCATTTAAGCTTCTAATTGTATGTAACAGTAATCATTTTCAAATATTTACAAAAATTTAGTAATCATTAATCATTGTATATAAATTTTTTAACTTCTAAATACAGTTGTCTTTTAATATGAGACATCTAAAATACATTTTATAGTCATCTGCAGTAAAAATATGAGATACAGAGTTTAAAGAATGTAAGAAATAGATTTTGAGAAAATAGATGAAAATAATTGTTTGCAGAATACAACTGTAACTGCACAGAAAACAGAAAAATTTTTAATTTAACAAACATTTTTTATTCATAAAAAACAAATTTAAAGTTAATTAAATTTTAAATGAAATTAACTTTACTATATTCTCCAGAAAGTAGAAAAGATGTGCTAGTATAGATACAGAAATAGTCATGAAAGATAGGGTATAGATACAGATATAATATCTATATCTTTAGCGAAAATCATTTGTTAGATTTTTCTTTTTGTATTTAGACTAGAGTAAGATAGTGTTGTAATGCTAAATAGGAATCTGAAGACTCGGATTTCTTACAACCGGCTTGTTCAATAATTATAAGGTTATGTTATGAAATGTATCACTTTTTTTTTTTTTTTTTTTTTTTTTTTTTTTTTTTGTTTTTGGAGGATATGTATTCATAATCACTTGGAGTAGAACGTTTAACTATAACATACTTTTAGGAATTTTAAAGTCATGTGTAACAGATAATATAATTTTATGAATATAATTATATGTTATTTTTATGCTTATTTTATGTTTGTTAATTTTTTTTCTTTTTATTTTAAATTTTAAATACAGGTTAAGCTATAACAGTACCCTAGTTATAATCAAATGGATGGGCTTTTAAGTTCTAATGGCTGCCTTCCAGTTCAGTGTTCAGCAAGTCAGTTTTACCTCAGAAGATTTCTCCTTAGATGCATCTTCTGTTGACTCTTTGAGTAGCGTAGTTGATCCTAATGTGGATTTTATCACTGGAAATGAAAACACATTGGAGGAAAAAGAGATTAAAAGTGAATTAATTTTCTATATAAATTTCCTTTTCATGTTCATATAGTCTTCCTTGAATTATTGACATATTTCTTTTTTTGAGAAGTATGTTAATAACTTAATATCCATCTATACACACGTGCCAGTATTTAAATATATCATTTGAAGAAACTGATTTAAAGAGATTTTCTTTTATTATTATTTGTACATTTTATTATGTTTTGTGATTTTTTCTTACCAAAAGAATCAAATATCATCATTTCAAAGTTACATCATTAATATTTTATTTTTTGCAGAAATTGTTTTCTAAGTCATGTAATTTTCTAAGCTATCACATAATTGTTTAATTTGCTAATGACTTCAAGACTTATGAAAAGGGCATTATGTGTTCTTATAAAAGCATAGTTAAGCATTTAAATAAATATAATTATTATACTTCAAAATAGTTTTACTAAATGATATAAAGATAGAATTTTGAAATACATTTCTTATTTTATGCATTTAATTATTATTTGTAGTTGTTTTACAGCAGGTTTCAAATGGATACATCTTTTAAAATAACTTGGTTAGCTTTAGACATTCCCTCTAGAGTTTAAATAACATTTGGGAAAAATTTCTAAAATGCATCCTTTTTTTTATATGTATAATTAACTAAATTTAGGGGGGGAGTTCCCCCCAGATTTTGTTACTTAACATATTACCATCTTAATAAAAGTTGCCAAATTTTTAGAAAGTGCCAAACTCTGACAATTGCTCATAACAATTCTTTAGTCAAACAATGTCACCATTTTCATGTGCATTCTTTTTGTTTTCCAATGGTTTTTATGGATAAATTGTTATATTTTTCACTTATATTAAAATATGCTCTTTTGGACTTTGCTAACACTGGAAGAAAATGCAGTAACATTTCTGTGGGAGTGACAGTTTTTTTGTTGCTAAATCGCTTAAACATACAGTGAAGAAATGGTAGATAACTTGTGAGCAATAGTAACATTTCTGTGGGAGTAACAGTTTTTTGTTGCTAAATCGCTTAAGCATACAATGAAGAGATAGTAGATATCTTGTAAGCAGTAAGTGGTTGGGTGCAGTGCAGAGTTTGTGCAAATCTCTGATGTTCTTTTAAGCGAAAACAGATCTTGGTATACCTTGAAAGAAGAAAATGGAAAAAAAGTCACGAAAAATGTGGTTTATTTATTTAAGGCAATATGTAATCCTTATTTAATAATTAAAATTTGTATTTTAAATTACTAAAGTAGGTCTTCTTTTGACATGTTGATAATGTTTTTTGTCGATGTGTGGACTTATGGTAAATATAAAATTACTGATTGACTCAATAAGACCTTTTAATCATGATTCTGCCTTTCCTTGCACTGAAAGAGAATTGAAATTTGCGCGGAAATTTTTTTTTTTTTTTTTACTTTTTTTTTTTTTTTTTTTTTTTTTTTTTTTTTTTTTTTTTTTATTTAACCATAAGCATGGAATTTTTATTTCTGGGATTAGTACTGGTATATTTCTGAACAGGAGAATGTATTGATATTGATAGTTATAAATTGAATTAGGTAGCTCAAATTAAAATGCAAAAAATGGCTAGAAGATTCCATTCATTTTCATAATGATGTAATTGAAGCGTTATTTGTGGACATTCAATTAGAGTGGGAGTGTGAATGGGTTTTGTAAAATGTCATCATGGGAAAAAATGTGTAAGATGGAAATAGAGAAGAGATGAAAACTTTGTGTTTGTTTGAATAGAGCTGCAGGACTATTTATGTAGAATTTTTATGATGAATAGTGATGGGAGATGCTTTGATTATAATTTCTAGATGATTCCTTGTTGCATATCTGTTGAATATTTTAGCCATATCCAGGCAAAGTATTTCAGCATAAAATTTATTGTTAAATTCTTTGGAAATGAGGGCTATGGTTTGCATAAAAGCCATATTTGTGTAAATTCATTTGTACAAAGATAGGATTATTTTCCTTAAGATACCATTAAAAGAAATGAAATGTTTATCCTCAGCTCCGAACCAAGGAACTATATATGGCTTGATGAGATAACTTGTGATACTAGAAAAAATTTGTATAGATTTTTGTATTTATGATTTTCATGTTTTTTTTTTTTACAGACAAAATTGTTTTTTTTTTTTTTTTTTTTTTTTTTTTTTTTTTTTTTTTTTTTGTTTTTTCACTCCCAAATTTCTCTGGTACACAGACACATTATTGGAGAAATCGAACTCTTCTTTGTTTTTTTTTTTTTTTTTTTTTTTGTTTTTGTGGGGGGGGGTAAGGAGAAGGGAACAGAGATTAATCCCCTTTATTGACGTGTTGGCTTCCACAAGTCCAAGTTCCACTGGTCACAGTTACCCGCAGTGTCACACTTTTTAAGAATTTTAAGAAAGGCAACCAGCTGCCAGATTAAGAATGGCAATCTTTTGATACCTACACCATTTAGAAATTTATGTGCGATTGCTGAATCCAGCAGTTTTGCCCCAACTGCTGGTCTGGATATGGTCCACGACATAACTTAGACTATAAAATCAATCTATTTGATTATAAACTGATTAAACTAGTCTTGCAATGCATATTGGTATATTTAATTAAGTGACCCCTTTGCCCCACACAAGACTTAATGGAGATTACATTTAATATGGGTAAATCAACCTTCCTTAAAGGACTCTCTTCAAGTATTAATTTTTTTGTGATCAAGCAGGAAATACAATGAGTTATTTTATACTGGATATATTAAGCAGTTTCAAAAATAAATTGTATGTGTAATCAAAAAGTAAGCATTTTTAATGCTGAGATAAATGGTGTAATGTTTAATTACTATACTTTACTCCTTTTAAATTTCCTGTACTTAAAATATATTCATGCATTGAACTCTGATCCTGTACTATCACTAAAATAGGTTCATAAGAAATTATAATAATTTCTTGTCTGGAAAAAGAACTGAGCAGCTCATGTTAGATACAAAATTGAAGATAACCTTTATTTGACAGTTTTTAATTCTGGATATATAAAAAGGCCTTTTAAAAATTATCTGGTTTAAACTGTACTATTTAATTTATTTTGCTTATTGCTTGCATACAAATGTAATTCTTTCCGCTGTTAGTATTTGATATGTTTTGACTGCAGCTCTGTAACCATATTATGGATTAGAGTTGTAACTAAATTAACTTCTATATGTCTTTAATGAAGTTTATCTAGTTTATCTTTGATATATATATTTTAACTTACTTTTTAGCTGAATGGAAATCTTCAAAAGTTACTTTCTCTGATAAAATCAAGATAATGGAGAATAAAAATCAGACGTCTTCAGTATCTGATGCTGAACATGTTGCTGATAAACAGCATTCAAGTGAATCTATTACACCCAGTTATCCGACAATACCTCTGGCTGTAAGTCTGGTTCATTGTGTATATGTAATCTTAAAAATATATTTCTAGAATTCATATATTTAATGTATAAGATATTTGTAAGCATTTAAGTAACATTTATTTTGCATTAACTGCTTTAGATGTTAAGGTATTAATCTAATACCAGTTTTAAAATTGTAATAATTTTTATTAATATGTTGACTGGTGCATCACCTGTATTTGAGTGCAAAAACTCTAACCGAGCCACATCATTCGTATTCGGGCAATGTTTATTTGAGTACTTGCGAGGTAAGTTAGTATGTACAGTCAAAAGTCGTTAATCCGGACTCGTCGGGACTTCGGCGATTCCGGATTATCGATTTTTCCGGATTATAGATCATCAGTTTAAATCTGGTAAGATGGCAGGCAGAAATTATAAAATTAAAAATATGAAACGAAATAAAGAACAATTATGATCTAAAGGGTATCAAAATTTACAAAAAAAAAAAAGCTTAATATGTATTTGTTTACTTCATTAAACATTTCTTTCAATGTAAGTTGTTTAAGTTGCTTCGTTTTTCATGTGATAATACATTCTCTTTAATTCTATAAACAGACATAATTTCTTGTTCAGTTACAAAGTTCCGCTGTTCAAGTCCTATAATTGCTGTGTCTTCCGACTAATTTGTCAATTGAAATTTTTTCGTTTTCAATAACCTCTGTCACTTTCTTTGCTATCCGAAGCGAATTATAATGAGGAGGAGTTTGATTTAAATCATATCAAAGACGGAGTACATCAGCCAAGTAAAATAAAAACATCTGCCCTGAAGATAAGGATAGTGCTGACAGATCAACTTCCAATTCATTGCCCGGTTAAAGATAAACAAAGGATATGCCTTTATCCATTTTTTGCATTCCACTTTTTGTTTAATGAACTTCGAAATATACTTTCGCTTTGTAGATCTTTTACATATTAATAAATATATATCAGAAATTCTATTTGACATAATTGAAAGTTCAGGCTTACTTTTATAAAAATTGCTGTAACAGTCTGCAAAAAATAATAAGCCGGATCCAATTCGAAGATTAAGGAACAACGCAATCTGCAACATTAACTGAAATAGATAATTAGATAATTTTAGCTTAGCTTAAACTGTCCGTTATATATTAAACGCGCACAAGCATATTCGCAGCCGTAAAGGTCTTATGTGCATGCGCAGAAGGTTTGTAACTTTGAGGTCCGGATTATAGATCATTCCGGATTATGGGTGTCCGAATTAATGACTTTTGACTGTATTTGAAAAAATAACATTGTTGAATGATGAAAGAAAAGAAAATTGTTGCCGACAACTTAAATTCATTTCATTCATAAAACTGAATTGTACTTTCTTCAATATTAACTTACCTTTTTTCTCTACAACCAGTTCTTTTAAAATATGATCGATAGTACCTATTCCACATTCCATATCAGAATCTGATGACGTAATTCTATTTATATTTCTCTTTCTGAAAAGTCTCAGATAGTCCTCATCACTACTATTTGAATTTTTGTGAATCTTGTAACAGGCTATATGATTCACTAAAAAATAACTGTTCTATTTTACATTTTGACAATCCAAAAAATTAGTACTACAGTTTTACACAAAAAAGCTTTAACTGCTCATCACTACAGCAAATATTTCCAAAGGGAGAAATAATTTTTGGATCTTGCATGCTTTCTAGCTACTTCATTCTTTAGGAAAGATTTTTCAATGGAATGCATGTTTCCAAACATTTTGTTCTAGGTATTATAAACTCCTGTGGTCAGAAACAAATGGCACATGGTATAGCAGCACTCATGGCCTGTTGGAGAATTTCATAGAAACTTGTGTGTTAGGCAAAAAGTTAAACTAATTTTTTATTTATTTATTTATTTTTAGTCTTGCATATTATTATTTTGAATTATGTTATTATGTTGAAGTTCAAAGAAGGAAGTGTTATTTAATTAATTTTAAGTGTTATTTAATTAAAGTGTAATTTAAGTGTTATTTAATTAAAGTCGCAAAATCGTATTTATCCGTTTAATATTAAATTTTTAGTGTCATATTCAAGTATTTTGTATTATATTAAATTTCCTCTTGAGAAATTTTTCCTTTCTAAAATCTAATATCTTTCATTATCAGTGTATGTGTATTGCTTTAAAATGTTATAGTCAAGTGTTTTCTGTTGCAGTAAATTTCCTTTTAAAATTTTCTATCTGAAATCATCAGTGTACTTTGCAAGTTTGCATCAGCATAATTGGTGAAACTGAGAGAATTTAATAATACAATTGGTAGCATAATTTCTGAAACTGAGAGAGATTTATATTTCATTAAATAACAGGAAAACTACATTTGAAATGAAGGAGTTTGTTAGTGTTTGAGCATTATTTTTTTCACTTTCCAACCATGCATGTAATTTTTCTTATTTGAACTAATATTATATCTTATTAATGTTATATTTCTTCATCTCACAGATAGGAGTTAAGAGTTTTATCATGGATTAATTTTAAAATTCCCAATGCTTTATCTTAAACATTTAATCTTCCCTTTCTCAAAATTTTACTGTCGGGTCTTATTTATTTCATTTTTTCTCCCTACTAATTAAAAGTAACATTTCATTCTCAAAGTGCATTTTGTTTTCCAAATACAGGTTTAAAATCTTTTTTTTTTTTTTTTTTTTTTTTTTTTTTTTTTTTTTGTAATTTTTGTATGGTCATTTGGATAGACAATTAAGGTGAAGTTATAAAATGTTTTATATGTTTAACTTGTTTTCCTTCATATTTCTTTCTTTATATATATATGCTTGTCACTAAACATAGCATTGAAATAACATAATTTTGTTATTAACAACAAATTCTTAAACACAGACAATAATTTTGGCTTATTAAGAAAAGAAGAATGTTGTAGGCATAAAAAATGGCATTACTTTCCGATAAATCTTCTCTTTTAACTACATCTTTACCTATTGATATAAACACATAGTAAATCTTATTCTGTTAACATCTTTGATTCTTCAGTTTATTATTTTTATCATGAGTATCTGTAATTTAACAAAGAATGAAACTTTCAGCTTTCTACAAAATTACAATATATTGTTCAGAAGGTAACTACTGTTTTGATTCTGTGTTATATGGGAAAACTAGGTCATATCTAGCAAAATTTTTTACAACCAGCTGTTATAGTTGTTACCTTTGCAGCAATGCTGGGATCTAACCCAAAGTCACCTTTATACCTACCTAGCTTCTGATTTTGTATAACTCAAAAGTACCAAACAGTCTACCAGTTATAAAGTGAAAGAGGTCATTGGCTCGGATAATTTATGAAGATTGGTTCTTGGCAATTGACTAGCCTTTTGCATGAGTTTTTATTAATTTATCTGTGTGTATTGTGAATAAAGTTAATTTTCATAAGAAAAAGTATCACTAAGACATTTTCTTGTCGAGCAGATAATTATTTTGTTCTTTGTTATGGTAAATAGCCTAGTCTTGTGTAAAACTATTAATCTACTCTCTTGTGTACTGAATTTGAACCATGTGTATTACTTCAGTACTTTATATAGATGGCAGAAATATATTTTCTATAAGAAATTAAGAAGTATGCTGTTATTATTTTATATTTATATATAACATTTATTTTGTTTTAAATTGCACTTTGTTTTATTGGCAGTGCAATTGAATTTATGATTATTATTTTTTCTGTAAAATTTATTAGGTTGCTCATTACATAAATCAGAATAATCCAGAATTTTACCAAGAAGCTGAAAAGTATTTGAATCATGAGACCAGTAATAAATCTGCTTTTGATAATGTATATGCTGTTCAAGAAAATAACCTTCCTTCCTCTCCACTTCACTCATTGTCCATTGCAACAGAAGCTTTAGCTTTACAACAGAGTGTTATTGGTAATATTTTTACAATAATTTATATGTAATATGTTCCTTGACTCTATTTTATTGAAATGTTTACCACTTTACTTTCTGATTATCCATATGACCACTGAAAAAATATCACCAAAAAACTTATATGGCAGTTCATGATATCACTAAAAAATATTTTTGTACAAACTCAAGTATGCATGTAACACATGTCAATTTTGGCCAGTGTGTAATGCCAAAGTTGTACAGTGTTGAGTTTGTGGAATTCCCTGACCTCCCCCCCCCTTTTTTTAGCAAAAACAGATTGCTGTGTATATTGGAAGGGGAAAAAAAAAAAAAAAAAGATGAAGAAGGATTTCCATCACGCATGGTGATACCATGTGGGGTTTATGATATCTGGCTGCCTTGAGTCATTCTTTGCCCCACCTGACTAGTTGACATCTGTACAACAGCCTGTTGTAATACGTGTGCTGTAATACCTGCTATTAGATAATGTGTGTCTATACAATCCACATATCACTACAGATTTTCGATGCTGCATAGCAACCCTCCCATGGTCATCCCTATTACCTGACTTCTCCATTATTGAACATTCATGGGTCACATTTCATTGTTCTGTATTTATTAGCATTTAAAGAGTTCTTTGTCATATTTGTCTGTCCTAAATATGTATATATTATCTCTTCGACCATGAAGTTGACTACCATCAAACCACGAAAGTGGCAGAGATCCCTCCAGTGGTTCCCATGGAATCTGAAGAAACTGTTTCCTCTTTATCTAAAACCAGTGTCACATCTACAAGCTGCATCCAACAACACATTGAAAGAGACATTTCCCAGAATTTTTTTGTGAGGGTTTGTTGACTTTTCGCGAAAACCAGTTCTTTGGAGAAATTATATGAGAGACTGGACGTAAAATAAAACATTTTCAATTCAATTTCCAAAAGTCTTGTGCAGCTAGGTTGGGTACGACTTTTAACAAACTGTTTCAACTAAGAACCATTCAATGGTAGATGATGGACAAACTCGTTTCTCAGAAACATTTCTTCTACCCTCGCTCGTCGTTAGATCTTATAACTCCATAATAAATAATTGGTATTCGCCTCACTTTGTAAAAAGGCTTATATCAATTTCTAGTATTTTTAGCCTCTGATTTTACTGAAAACTCTGTTGGGAATATGATTACAGATTTCCCATGGTTACTTGTTTCAATCTGTTTTGTCGGCTATATTTAGCTTTCGATATCATGTAATTAATGGATACATTTTTTTATGATGATAAGATCCCGTAACTTTGAAAATACTATATTGGTTGCTGTGCTGTATCATGCAGATCCCAAATTTTAATCTTTTTTTAGTCCAAGGGGCTTTGTCTTTGAAGGACTATTGTTTTAGTTTTGCGATTTTGCATCGAATCACTATAAACGGCGTATCAATTTTCAAATTGTTGCCACCAAATGTTAGAGTCCTGCATTATATTTGAAGAAATTAAATAATGCAGAATCTGCACAAATGTGCGTATGTTTCTCTCACTGTGATAAAACAACGGTACCTAGAGCCAGTGGCGTAGCTAGGGTTTCCAGAATCTGGGGACAACTAAACAATTTACGCCCCTTTCTGTGTGCCAAAAATGAAAAACTTTTCGTAACATCAATTTGGTGCCCTATGGATGCTGCACCCGGGGACAGATGTCATCCCTTGCCCCACCATAGCTACGCAACTGCCTAGAGCCATCCAATTTTGAATCACGTAATCCTGCTGCGAATATGGGCATCTGAAAGCCCAAATTTTTAAGTTAGGAATTTGTTTTATTATCAATTTCATATTTTGTAAAACTTAAACGAATTTTTGATTAACAAATTCAACGATTTAAAAACGAGCAATGGCAACACTATATGGGGGGGGGGACCTTTTTATCTCCAGAACTGTGTATCCAAAATTCTAAAGCTGTTGAACTGAATTTTATGGTTCAAGGGCAAAGAACATGATATATAATAAATAAAGGTAACACACAAAATGTTAAAAAAACACCCCTTCGGATGTAATTTAAAATCTGAAAACTTTCAGATTTTTTTTTCCCTCAAAATACAAAAACAAGTACAGCAACAAGAGTTAATTAATATTCTTGTTCACTAAAACTAAACATGGCTTCTCAAGAATCAATGAGAGCTACATCAAACAAAAACGCAGATGTTATGGGTGTTTTGTTTTGCCATACTTATCTATAATTGGCTGTAAATCATGCTACTTGCCAACAGTTTACAGATTATAGGCTAACACGCAAGTACCCTGTTCTGAACCACTCTTGCTGTATTAAAAGTTATTGGGGTTCTCCTATCATTCTCATGTTTTCTTCTTTCTTTCATATCTCTGACTTTTTCTAAATGTGTGAATTTTTTTTTTTTTTTTTTTTTTTTTTTTTTTTTCTTCCTAGAATGTATATTTTATTGTGTTAGACAAATATATGTATATATATATGTCATACTTTAATGCGTAGGAAAAAACATTGCAACTTTTAACAGCTTTTGATATCCATCATGGCTGATTGTTACGGCGTACAGATGAAGATAACAAAACAGGATTTTTAAGATACTTCTAGATCAAAAGCAATTAAAATAATTTTTATATACACAGGTAAAGGGATACTATGTCATTTTAAGCAAATGGGCATACCAGTATGCAGATGTTGGAAGGCGGAAGGTAGGGAAAAGAAGAATGATATAGTTAACTTGTGAGCAGTATTTATACTGAGTATATGCAGAAAGTACTCAAAGCTATGATTGGTTAATTTTTAGTTTTAGTTACCTTTTTCAAGCATCGTTATGTAACATGGAAAGATCTCGAATTTGGGAGAGCAGATGAATTTAGGGGGAGAACATAAAACCTAGAACAGTTAATTTTGAGGTTGCCAATTATTCTTAGGCCCAGCTATTGTATTTATATCTTGCATATATGTACATAATAATTTTTTTAAAAAAGTATTTTCTATTTCAATGTTCAAGTTTTTTCTTTTCACATTTTATGTTATACTTTTTATCACAATTTTTATTCTAATGCTTTCTTTTTTCCTGCTTCTGTTGTTTATTCTGTGAATAAAATTTGCTTACTTTAGGTTAGATATAATCTGTATCTCATCACAGATTAGGCAATATATTAAACATTTGTTTGTTGAATTATAATTTTTTCAGATAGAATATTTTTAAAAAGTAATATAAGATCTAGGTATAATTTGATATTCTTTGAGAACAGTCGTATAAGAATTTTATAAACATATAAAAATTATATTATTATAAATATATATGTATATTTTAAAAAGTTATATTTGTAATGCATTTTAAAATGCAATGTATTATGTTATTGGGGAATGACAGTTTCATTAAATTTCTGTTATCAACTTTTACTCTTTTCTGATGTTTAACCCCTCTTTTGTCCATTTTGCATTTGTGCTCAAATTCGTCTAATTGTGTATCTTCTAATTTTTTAGGAAATATGGGTGTGAAGCCAGTATCTGCTGATATTGTTGCCCAGGTTGTCGCCAGTACTAGACAACGACTTGCTGAAAATTCACAAGATTTGACATCATGTGATCCGAGTTTAGCACCATTATCTACTACTGAAATAACTAATGTTTCAAATATAGGGAAATCCACTAATAAAATTAAAAGTGAGCAGTTGGATTATAAGGAAAGTACTTGTACATCAAAACTAATCAGGTATCCTTCTGAAAGTATTTCTTCAGTTGTGGAAAAAAGACCTTGGTTTTCAAGTTCATCTACTGAATTTTCAAGCAGTGCAATTTCTAAACCAGTTCATAAAAATTCCTTAAAAAAGAATCTATCTCACAGTAACAGTAGTAGTCAGAGTAGTATTAATAGTATAGGGCAAAAAAAGTGTCTTCAGACAAATGATATTGAAATGCCAAAAGTGCATTCATCAAAAAAGTTTTTGTCTAAACATGTGATAAATAGCAGAGTGTGTGGGAAAAATGATTCACCATATGAAATGTATCCTGATAGTTCATGTGACTATGAAACTGAATCTAGTGTGTCTGAAAAATTTGAAGTAGAATCTTTGTGTTCTGAAGCCTTTGAAACCGAATCTAATTTCTCAGAAATTAGTGGCATTGATGATGAGATATTTCAAATTAGGCGAACTTCAGATGCTCACCTCATAAATTTTGCTGGTAACTCAAACAAAGACTTAAAACATAATGGTACACAAGTTAGCACTGTAACTTCTCATGCAAATACTTCTCCATTGAAACATTCAACCCCTAAGCATGTTACTGATACTGATGAGAAAGCAACAGAAACTGATGATTCCTATCATATCAATATATTAAGAGAGAAAGCAAACCTAGAAGGTCGTCTTGAAACCATAGCTCAGGATCAAACTGATTTAATTAAAGAACGGGATCATTTTAGTTCATTGTCTACATCTTATGAAGCCCAGCTAAAAGCTCTGCAGAAACAGTTAGATGTTGCATTGTCAGAGAAAAGAGACATCTTGAAATTATTGGACTTGCAAACTAAAGAACATAAGAATTGGGACAATGTAATTAAAGAATATCAAAATATTATTGAATCTAAAAATAGTGAAATAAAAGGTCTTAAAGAAGACTTGTCTTTAAGTGAACAAGCAAATACTGAATGTAAAATAAGCCTCGAAGAACTGAAAGTAGATATGGAATCTAAAGATGGAGCCATTTCAGGATTAAAAAAGAAAATTGCTGAATTGCATGTTGAAGTTCAGGTTCATTTGCAAGGAAAAGTTCAGTTAGGAAATGAATTAAAAAATGTCCGACTTGAAATAGAAACTTTGCAAAAATCCAAAGATTGGTTTCAAGAACAACTTCACATAGCCCAAGAAAATAGAAATAAGTTGCATCAAGATTTGATATCTGCTCAAAGTGAGCAAGCTGTCTCAAGCAACAATCTTGAAAAGATCATAGCTGAGAAAAATCAACTTCGTCAAGAATTAATTCATACACAGCAACGGGCTGTTGCTGAGAAAGAAGTTTTGATGAAGCGCTTAGAAACTATAGAAGCAGATATGAAAGAGCGTGAATCATTGTTTGATGAAATTCAGAAAGACAAAGGCACTGCAGAGTCTGCTCTTGTTGAGCGAATACGCAAAATAGAAGAGGAAAAGTCCCATTTGATGGATTTATCATTTACAATATCAGACCAGGAACACCAGATTAAATTTTTAAAAAGTGATTGTGAGGAAAAGGCAGAGCTTTTAAAATCTTTGGAAAAAGAGAGAGCTGAATTAATGAAGCAGGTTGCTGTACTACACAAATCATCAAATGATAAAGATCTGAATATTCAGCAACTGACACAGCAAATAAAAGATATGAATATTAAATTAAATCATGCAGAGATGGCATTATCACATTCTGAAGAATTAATCCATAATTTAAAAGATGAAAAAACAGCCACTGATGTTGCATTAGCTTCGGTGAATGAAGAAAAGCGTGTTATTAATGAGTCATTAAAGAATGTGAGTGAAAATCTCAATAAATTCAAGCATAATTTCAAACACATGAAAGCAGAATTGCTAACACGAACTTCACAAGCAGAGCAATTACTGAAAGAGAAACAGCTCTTAGAAGAAACCATTAGGAAGAATGAGGAAAGTGTACTGTTGTTACGTAAAGAGTTCGAGCAGCAAGTGCTATCTAAAACTCAGAATAGAGATGTAATGTTTGATGATTTACAGAAAAAGAAAAATGATGTTGAAAGTGTCCTTAATGTATATAGTAAAGATTTGCTAAATTACCAGCAAACTGTTGAAAATCTTTCCAAACAAAAGACAGAACTAAATAATGAAATTTCTGAGTTAAAATTAGTTATTAGTAACAAAGAAAATAAAATTATGCAATTAGATACAGAAAATGAATCTTTAAAGAAAAAATTATTTCAATTTGAAAATAATTTTAATGATAAAGATGTAGTTTATGTTGATGAGAATAGTATAGCCATATCACCTAATGAGAAGCCTGCAAAGTGCTCAACTGAGGAATACCAAAGAAAATTGCAGGTTTCTAGAGGTAGAAAAATTTTGTATAAGAAGCTTAAAGAGAAGATGAAAGAATGTGAAAGCCTGAGAAAAGAGCTTGAGTTAAAAAGTGAAACTCAAGGAAATAAAGACAATTGTGAAACCAAAGAATTAGCTTCAAAATATAGCCAATGTGAAATGGATAAAGCAGTAGTTCAGAATGTTCAAGATTTAGAGAATCAATTAAAAGAACAAAAAATGATGTTGAAAGAACAAACTCTCTTACTGAAGAAAAGTGAAAATACTATATTAGAGCTTGAGAAAGAAAAAGGAAAAGCAGATGGTAAATCACATGCATATTTTTTTTTTTTTTTAATTAAGCTGCCTTCTTTTAATAAATAAATGACAGAACAACAACTGTACTGCATTTGTGGTTGCTAATTCTGGATGGACATAATGGATTTAATGGCCATTTTGTCTTATGTACATTGTGCCAAAAAAAAAAAAAAAAGAAAAAAAAAAAAGGACAGTTCAATATCTCTCATTCTACTGGGCCGATTGGCAAAATTCAAATTGCATTTTTCATGTCTCGAAAGCGCAATTTAGGATATATATTATATATATATATATATATAGCACTGTTGTGACATAGGTATTTTGACACAAAATCGGACTTTTTCTGAAATAACATGCCAATTTTTTCCCTTATTTCGATTCTATGACTCAAATTATGCCCAGATATTAAATTTTGAAAAATTTGGTGTGAAATTTACGGATAAATTCAAAAATTTATCTTGGTGAAATTTTTTCAGTTTGGCCAAGAATAATTCACTTGGCAAACTTCTTAACTTATGGCAACCAATTTTCCTTTCCTTTCCATTATGCCAGAGCGGAAAAAAAGGCACCTAGCTCCTACCTTTTTACATTGTGTATGAGTGAAAAAAAGTCACATTGTTTCTACTTCCAAATGATTTTAGCAAAGTGTTTTAAACCACATCTGATGTTTTATCGCTTTCAGCAAATATGCCAGATTTCAAAATGTGTCAATAAATTCACATATATCTTCAGAAATTTTGAATAAAAATTTTTATTTTTTTTGCAGGTATGCTTGGAAATACGTCTGTTTTAAGATGATGGTAAAAATTTTACAGATTATAATTCAAACTTTTTTTAATTAAAAATTATTTAAAAATACAAATTTTTAAAAAGAGATCATAAAAAATGGGTGATTTTTATTTGGAATGAACCTGAATTTCGCAATGTGAAAGGAAAAATCAAATAAGCTTAATAAAAAAAGAGAGATTAATCAATATATACCAAACTCAAATAACATTGAGGGGGATAAAATTTTGAGAGCTAATTTTTTAAAAACTACTCATGCGATTTTTACAAAACTTGTTTGTTTGGTGTAATTTGAGTCGTAGAATTGAAATATGGAAAAAAATTGGTATGTTAAAAAGTCCGATTTTTGTGTCAAAGTACCTATATTAGAACAATGCTATATGCAAATCTAATACATATCTAAGTCACACTTTCGAGACATGAAAAGCGCAAGTTGAATTTTGTCAATTGACCCAGTAGAACCGGAAATACAAAACTGTCCCCCCCTCGCAGTGTATATGGGCTATTCTATTATAATCTATGTCCATAGATCATTCGTCATAATGGCATGGATTGCTGCAGGAATGCTCCTTGTTGCATTATGCTCTAATGGATTTTAATAATTGTTTAATTTGCCATAGACTGCTTAAACTCTTATACATATTTAATGGGTATTTTTCTGTAGAGTAAAAAAGGCTGGTATTATTTATGGGAAACCGTGATGATCTTAGGACATTTTTTCTGCTAATATGACATTTAAAAATTAGTTATAATTTTTCAAGCTGAATGAATTTTTTCCTGGTTCTGATTAAAATTTTGTTATATTAAAATGTAATAATGCGCATGTAAGTGCATCTTAGCATTTATTTACTGGTTAGAGATATTAAAATTATTTAATGTGTAAAATTTTTTCTGTTCGTTCATTTATTTATTCAGTTCTTTGTTATTTTAGGCATCGTGGATAAATACAATGCTTTGAAACAACGTGTGTCTGAACTTGAATTGAAAATAGCAGAGAGAGATTCTCAGGTTGTTGAGCTAAACTGTAAAATAGAAGAACTGAACACTCAAATTTCTGACTTAGAATCAAGTTCAAAAAATCAGATTTTAAGTTTAGAATCTGATTTAAATAAAGAAAAGGCAGTGGTCAAGAGTTTAAGACAACAGGTATTAATTGTATATTACAGTATATTGAATATTATATAGTTTTTATGTCACTGTAGTTTAAAATCTCGGAACTTTGAAAGCAGGTCTCAACTTTCTATTAGTATGATTAAACTTTGGATGATATGACTTATTTTAAAATCCATTTGACTTCATAAATTAATTTAAGAGAACATGTCATATTTTGTAAGTATATTTTTACAAATTTGTAATTGATCTGTGTTTGAAGTTATGGAAGTAATATACTGACACTCAGCAACAGTAATATATTTGTGTTCTAGATATTTTTATGTAATATAATAATTTTTAAAATTAAAGTTTCCTGCTTAAAATCTATATTTAATTTATTATAGGAACTTTATAATCCATAGATATTTGCATTTGATTTACTAATTATTATTCAACTACTGCTGTTGTTTTAATTTTATGTTAACTTTATATGTATTTAAATTACTCAGATCATATACATATTTTCCATAGGTATTCCAAGAAAAAAGAGCAAATTCACACTTGCAGAGAGATTTATTATCATTAAAATCAGGTTTGGAGCAAACAAATCAAATAGCTGATTCTAAGAAACAAGAAATAACTGCTCTTCAGTCTGAACTGTCTGTAAAAATGCATGCAGAACTGAAGCACAGAGCAGAAATTGAACATTTTCAGAATGAAATGCGGGTATTAAATTCTGTGATTGAAAAACTGAACAAAGAGCTAGAAGAAGTAAAAGCTCGTGATCCAGCACTGGCTGAGCAACTAAAGGTATAGTACTCCTATTTATGAAAATCTCAATTATCTATAATAGGAAACAAATTGGCTCTACATTGCAATGAAAAATATTTGAATATTAACAATTAAAATTGTTATTGATTTGAGTCATTTGACCTAACTCAGAAAAGATATACTAAAGACTTTTATGACCGAAAGCATGTTATATGCCTACTTTGGTGTTTTTGCTTCATGTTGCTTCATGATTCAGTGTAGCAGTGAAAATTTAATCAAATAATTCCTTTAAGAGAATCATAGTAAAGTACTAATTGGGGGGGGGGGGGACTGGAAAAAGAGTTATTCTCTAAAATGTTGCACATAATCTTTTGAACCAAAAATAAAATCAACATTATCCATCAGTATGCATTATATCAAAATCAGAATCTGCAAAATTAGGAAGTCTGAAAATCTTCCAAATTCTTAACTTTGACTACTTTAACTACTCTTAACTACTAAAAGTTTAACAAATTTGTGATTTCGAGAAAAAATTTGGTATTGTTATAGTTTCTGTCATGTTATGCATTGTGACAAATTAAGTTGTGAAAATATTCAAAATACTTTTATCTCTACCTCATTTTAACTTGTAAACTTTTTAAATATTATGCCAATGGTATGTGTGATATCTTAAATGTTAATAATATGTATAGTTTTTCCAAGTGCCTTAATAGGTTAATAAGCATGTGCAAAGCTTTGAGATTCTAAATCGATATTCCTTTTAATAATGTGTACACTGCGGGAAAAAAATGGGACGGCTCTATATCTCCCATTCTGCTGGGCTAATTTACGAAATTCAACTTGCATTTTTCATGTCTCAAAAGCGGGACTTAGGATATGTGTTATATATATATATATATATATATATATATATATAGCATTGTTCTAATAAAGGTATTTTGACACAAAATTGAACTTTTCCTAAAATGACATGCCAGTCCCCCCCCCCCCGCCCCATATTTTGATTCTGCTACTAAATTTATGCCAAACTGCCAAGTTTTGTAAAAATCATACAAGTAGTCATTAAAAAATTAGCTCTTAAAATTTTAGCTCCTCAGTGTTAATTCAATTTGGTATGTAGTTGTTAATATCTCCTTTTTATTAAACTTATTTGATTCCTCTTTCACAGTTCAAAATTTAGATTCATTTCAAATAAAATGAACCCATTTTTAATGATTTATTTTTAAAATTTGTATTTTTATAAATTTTTCAAAAAATGATTTCAAAAAATTTATAACCTATAAAATTTTTACAGACATCTTTGTAAGCATACCTGCAAAAAATTAAAGCTTTTTGTTCAAAATTTCCGAAGATATGCGGGAATTTATGTAATGGCACGTTTTTGAAATTTGGCATATTTGTTGAAAACAATAATAACAAAAATGTGGTTTAAGCGTGTTTTTTTTTAATTATTGGAAAGTATGAACGATGATGTTTTTTCCTTTTGTCTTCAATGAAAAAAAGGAAAGGAAAATTGGTTGCTATAAATTAAGAAGTTCGCCAAGTGAATTTCATATATATATATATATATATATCTTAGTTGCGCTTTCGAGATATGAAAAAGGCAATTTGAATTTTGTCAATCGGCCCAGTAGAACAGATATAGAACTGTTCCCCCCCTTTTTTTGGCACAGTGTACATATATATATGAATGCATGCATGCATGCATTTCTGATTCCGTTCCTAATAACAGAAGAGTACCAATGACAATAAGAGATCAGTTCAGTCTAGGCATTAAATCTGCCTTTTTTTCTCAACAAAACAGTTCAAAAAAAGAATAAACATTTCTGTTTTTTCAGATCTTTTGCAATAATTTTATGAGCAATGTCTTTGCTATTTTTAAACCCATCAGTTACTATTTAAAACCATGGGTAATAACTTTCAGGAATAGTCTGATTTTTTTTTTTTTTTTTTTTTTTTTTTTTTTATGCACTTATCTATTCAAGATTGTAAAGACTGACCTTTTCTGGATTCATCATATCCTCTCATCTTTATAAAACTATCAGTACCAACAAAGGAGATTAGATCATGTTAATACTTGATCATTATGTGCTGCATACGTCATTTCAGTCGTAGAAAGTCCTCCATGAAGGCATCTTTTCCCTTATGCAGATAGCTCTCATATGCTTTGTCATAACCAAATCAAACCATTTCAATAGCCTTGTTGCAGTTTTTGCAGCTTTAAAACAACAAAGTTTTTTTTTTTTTTTACTATTTTTTGTTTATCTTTTAATCCATAACTTTAAAGTTGACTGCATGAACTGAACAATTAAATTACATTTAAAATTCTTTGCATAAAAAGAGGGTATTTTAATCCAGATAAATTGAAACACCTTAGTTGCTGCTTGGCAGTTTGGTGGAATTAATTGTAAAAAATCAGACCTAAAACTTTGTAGATGCAGTACATGAGATTTACAACTGGTAAAAGAAGTATGTGGCCCATTTTATATGTGGTGCTGGTCTCAAAAATGCAGATAATTATCCACATCTGTCTGTGGGACATTCACTCAGTGATAGGCACCTGAACTAGCTTTACTGCATGCTTTCACAGAAATGCTTTTAAAATCTTGCGTAATATGCATTTACAGTTTCTTTTAAAAATGTCATTCTTATGTTATAAGGTCATTAACTGTGTTAAGAATTATTTTGATTGATCTGTTTCTTTTCTAACTTCATTTTCTGGAAAAAAAATTTATCTGAGGTTTGTGCATTTCAGGCATTTTATGTAATTTATTTAAGGATAACATGAGGATATAAAAAAGGCTTAAAGTAATAACATCATTTTTCCTTTAAGAAGTTATTGACCAAATTAAAATATGTAGTTGCAAAGAAAAGTATGGTAAAATTTTAACTAAGTATACATTGCAAAAGAACACCTTTACTTGAGAACAATAGAGGTTGCCCTTATAAAAGGCAGTTTCTTTGGCTGATCCATAAAACTAAGCTTAGATTTATGTATTTTTTAACATTTTCTGCATTTTTATTTTAAAAAAGTATTTTCGAATTTCAAAATATATGACACATCCTATGTTCATAATTTGTGACTAAGTAAAAAAACCATTTCAAACATTTTGAGCAAATAAAGGCTTGTTGCAGAACAATGCAAAGTTTTTCCCTTGGGTATAACTTAATTAGCAGGCAAGAAATGCTTATCAAGCATTATGTAAATTTGTAAACAGATGCATAAGCAGATGAATAATCTGTAAACCCGATGCATTAAGTTTTGCCTTATGTCGCAGAGTACTCTCTATAATGTTCTATGGTTTTAATTATTTTTTTTTAATAAATTCAGGGCTGATTGTGGTCCAGATATAGTCAGAATTCTGGTTTTACTTTCTTTTCATTCTTCTGGAATTTCTGGATTTCAGAAATCGCACGTGCACATTATCTTTATGTACTATGCTCGAAATTGTATGGAGAGGTAATCTTCATCTACAGTTAATCTTAAAGATTAAGATTTGTAATTAGTTTTTATTAATGCAGTGGCTGTAAAAATTATTAGAAATTCTGGAAAGGTCAATCTATTAAAATAAGTTAAAATGCTTTTTTAAAATGACATATATAGAATGCTTTCATTTTATGAAAAAAAAAGGTATACTTAAAAAACTCTTGTCTTATCAAATTCAGTGGCATGAATTCTGTTCTATATTATGAAACAACTACTTTTGTTACTTTGGGTGAAAATAGCAGATAATCTTCCAAATGTGGTTTCAGTAGATGAAAACATTTTTGTTACTCAAAGAAGTTCCAAACTGTATAATAGATAGTTACTTATCTTATATACAAGCAAACAAAACAAAAAAACCACTGGCATTATAAACTTTTAGGCTGAAGTATTTAGGCTAAAAGGAAATAGAAACAGAAATAGAACAGTACTGACATACTCAAATTAATTTTAGCTTCCTTTGTTAGACCCCTGTTAAAAGTGTGTTTAATTACATTGGTGATAGTATGACAGAATATAGAACATTGTTGAACACTGATAGCCAAGATGCTGTGACGATTGAAATATTATTTATTCTCGTTAAACAAAAATACATGTGAAATTTTTTGACATTTTTATCAGCAACAATCAGACAGCTTGCCAAAATTCTTTAATCATCCTACCATCTATTCCTCACTTGTTAATATAGCTTCAACACTTACTTCAAGCTCTAATCTTGAAACTTAAGAGGTTAAGTGAAAAATCATTATCTGTTTCAAAATGACTTGCTGATCAGAACTGAACTTTTCACAAAGAAAAATCTTAATGAAGCAATTTTGGAACATAAATTTGCCCTTCCTCAAAAAGCAAGCTAAAATTAGCAATTATTTAAAGAAATGTTTAGAAAGCTAAGTAACTTTCTGAAAGGATGAAGTAAAGCATAAATTAACATTTAATACATTAGCTTTGCTAATAAAATTGTTAATCATGTCTGATTTGTATTACAAGATAGTTTTCAGAATTTTTGAAATGAGGTTGCATTCACTCCTATAAATTACTGTACTGAAATGTTACATTATGCTAATATGTGACTTAAATAAGTAAATAAAAGTTATGCATTACAGGGAAATCTGCAAAAAATCATGCTGTTAATGCAGCATTAGCTCAAGTTGTCTCAAATATCAGGTGAAAGAAATGAACAGCTTTCTTCTCTTTTGTAAAAAACAGTATCATAAATGAAATGTACCTGTGACTTATTTATAAATTAAAAGCATTTTATTTCAATATCTTTAAAAATAATCATATGATTTGCAAATGTGCAATTTGAACATTATAAATTAAGTTTATGTGGTTTTCCAAAGTTCTCTAACTCACAGTAAACTAGTTAAAGTGTAAATTAAAGTAACTGATTTTCCCCTCCCCCCCCCCTTTTTTTTTTTTTTTTTTTTTTCAAGTGACTGAAAAACAGGACTTACTAAATTTCATGTAATTATATACTACATAATTATTTTAAGTCTTGATTTATTTTAATATCTTACTGATTATGGTTTACCAAAAAAAGAGGGAGGGGAAATTCATTTTATCATTCTACATTTATTGATAGCTTATTATGCAGTCTTGATTGAGAGCAGATTTATTGATAGCAGATAGCTTATTATGCAGTCTCATTTCCATTTTGTTGCTACATTAATTATTTAGATATAGACATTGGGAAATATTATTCATATATTTCTTTATTTTAGGCTCTGAGTTGGCGCTTAAAGGAAAAGACAAATGAGGTTCTAGCCTTGCAAGAAAAGCAAAATCTAATTGAAGACAGGCATAAATCTGAAATAGAAGGATTAAGGAAAATTTTACAAGTGATTTTTCTTAAATATGTTTGTTTTTGGATATATTTGGACTGCTTCTTGAAAGATTATATTATTTTAGTGTAATTTACTTTCTTGAATATATATATATAAATACAGGGTGAATCAGAACAAGTGGGCAAAACTTAGGGAGTGATAGAAGGCAGTTGTACAATAATATTCATCATAGAATGTATGCTTGGAATGCAAAAGATGAGCCGCTAGGTGGCATTGTAAATAAATGGTATAAAAAAGCACCCAGCATTTTCTCGCACCCGCATTTCTACTGAGGATTGCTGGTTATACAAACCACGAAATTTGTAGGGTGATGGATTGGTCAAAGTGGTTCCATAGCTTGGCCACCAAGATCACTGGATCTCTTGTGTTTAGACATATTTTGTGGGGTCACATGAAAAGCCTAATCTATGAATGCTGCATTGAAGCCAGTATAAATCTAGTCGCCAAGATCGCTGTTGCCAGCGATATTCGAGAAATGCCTGTTGTCTTCACAAATGTGCATCAGTCCATATCCTGCAGGTGTGAAGCCTGCATTACAGCTGGCAGAAAGTGTTTTGAGCAATTTCTGTGGGCATGTTCTGTTAATAAAAGGTTTTCTGAAGTATCTCCTATCATTCTTGTGTTGATCTTTAAATATTACAGTAGAAAATTACCCTTTAACTTCTCACAGCTTGCTTTCCGACCATACATTCTATGATGAATATTGCGCATATAGCTGCCTTCTATCATCCCGTTAAGTTTTACCCACTTGTTCAGATTCACCCTGTACATGTACACACATCTGTATCTGTATGCATATATATAATTTATTTAATTCATTTCCCTAGGATACTCAAATAGAAATGGAACGTATTAAAATAGAGCTTAATAATACAAGGAAAGAAAAATTCAACTATCAATCAAAAGTAATTGAACTAAGGAAGGCTTTAAAATCCAAATTAGCTGAATTAGAGGTAACTGCACTGTATTTGTTTTGTTAGTTTTTTTTATTTTTATAATTACATCTGCTCACTGGTCTGAATATTCATTCAGTTTTATGTTATTTGCTTAAATTTCTGATGATTTTAAAAAATTTGAATTATCATAATTTTAAAATCTTGACTATTGTTATTTAAATTGAATACAAATAAATACACTACTGTGGAAGACAGCTGGAAGTATCTATCTAAAATGTAAAGTTTATCATCTATATAAGTAGAGAAAGCCTTTTAAAATAACTCTTCTTTTGAGATTTATATGAAAAGCAACTTACTTCATAAGATGTGAAACTCACACTTAAAATAAAATGTGACTTACAAAATATTACTTTAAAAACTTACACTAAAATTTGATATCATACAAAAGTAAATATGTAATGTGCAAAATATGTAAATACATCAACTTACTCGATAAAATGTGAAAATGAACTTTTAAAGATATTTAGAAGAGTGCATGCACATCAACCATTTTTTAGTATATACCTAACAGTAATTCAATTATCAATATCCATTGTATTCATAAGAGCTGTGAATTGCTATTAGGTTATCCGGAATAATGCAGGTTTTTTAACCTATATCTTTAAAGTATCATAACTCAACTCAAAAACAATTTTATTAATCAAAATAAGCACCAGCCAAATCAATGCATTTTTGCAGCAAGATGCAAGTTTATTTATGCCGGTAGAATAAAATTCTGGAGTTCTGGACGCGATAGTTGTCGAAGACGTTTTTGACTTCGTCTTGGTTTCTGAAGCATTTTTTCTGCAGAATGTTATCCAGATGTTTGAAAAGGGGTAATCGGTCGGTGAGAAGTCAGACGAATAGGGGGGAAGAGAGTGAGTCTCGTATCCTAATTCATTCAATTTCTGTAGGGTCAGTTACATGACGTGCGGCCGAGCATCATCATGGAGAACTAGCAGCTTTCTGCTGACCAATGCCGAGCACATGCGTTACAATTTTTGGTGCATTTCGTTGATTTGCTGACATTATTTATCTGCCGTAATCATTTCGCCCAGATTTAAGAAGCTGTGGTGGATGAGACCGGCCACAGACCACCAAAGAGTCACCATAATTTTCTTGTGGTGCAAATTTGGCTTGGAAACTGTTGTGGTGTCTGACCACGGTCCAACCACTGAACCGAATGTCGCCAGTTGTTAGAGAGAATCCACTTTTCATTGCACGTAACAATTCGATCAAGAAAAGGATCTTTTGTTTTTTTGCGGAGAAGAAGAGCAGACGACACTTCGAAACGATGATTTTTTTAAAATTTTCGCTCAATTCGGGAGGCACCCACTTATCGAGCTTCTTTGACTTTCCTATATGGTTCAAGTGATCAGAAATCATTTTTTTGCTTACGCCAAACTCCTCCGCAAGCTCTCGAACAGTTGTGCACAGGTTTGTTTCAACTTAAGTCTTCAAATCATTGTTATCAACAGCTGAAGAGCATCCACGATGCTCTTGATCTTCCAGGTCAAATTCTCCATGATGAAACTTTTGGTACCACCATTGAATTCTAGATTCATCTACACTTTTCTCGCCCCATACTTTGTTGACATTTCGAGCCGTTTGCGCAGCGCTGTGGCATGGCTTGTACTCAAATTGTGAATAAAAAAAGTCTAATTTTTTATTCACAAGTAAATTTGCAGAAAATCCCGTTTTGACATCTAAACAAAAACACCTAGTAAATATTTTTTGAAAATAATTTTGGAACAAAATAATTATTGTACAAATGTAGAACCAAAACAGAGGTTCAAATTGATATATAAACCAATGTAATTCAAAATATTTTTGTTGCTAAAAATGTACAGGAAATATAAAAAATTGCAAAAACCTGCGTTATTTTCCGGACAAACCGATATTTACAGAGAAGCACTGTTTTTAATATATCATAATTTATAAGTAATCATTATTATTTAGTTCAGTAAATCCCTTTTGTTTACCGAAATACTTCTATTTTTCCATGATATTGTTATAAATAAAGAAAGGTACTTTGTTATTATCTACGTTCCCCTGAAAAATATTCAGGAGGCAAAACATTATGTCACCAAAATAGGCAACCCATGATGTCACCAAAATGTACATTTATGTAGCAAACCAGGTATGGGCTCACATGCAGAATATGAAAGCTCATTTCTACCTTCAAATGAAATGGTTGTTTTTCTGATTAGTGTTTGCTTTTGTTGCATTGGAAGTACATTTTTTTCCTTGTAAGAAATCATAATGGGACTGTAGAGTTTACTGGCTGATAAAAAAGAAAGCTTAGCATTTCTTCAGAAATATGGCATTTTGTCCAACAATAGAGAATGCAGAAATTGGCCTTCCATGAAATTGTACTTCACGAATGGTTGAATGCTATGAATAAAAAATAGTGTATTGATGCTGAATTTGCAATTCTTTGATTATTTTTTTAATAAAAACATATCGCAGTGTACATGGGGGTACAGTATGTGCAGTGCCAAGTTTCTGCAATTCTCTCATGATTTGAAGCTATAGCAAATCACTTTGTACATAGCGTGACAGTGCAAGTAAAAGGTAAGTGTTTTGATTTGGATGTTTCTTAACTGTTAATTGGTTGCTATTTTATTTAATTTTAAGTGTGCTGCCATTTTTGAAAATGATTATTTTTTTTCGTGCCTTGATAAAAAATTAGTTGTCTGTGGTTGGGAACTTTTCAGGAACACAGTGCAGATAATAATAAAATACCATAATAGCTTTATATTTTGAATTTATGAAAATATCATGTACACTGCACAAAAACAAAAATTAAAAAAAAAAAAAAAAAAGTTCTATATCTTCCATTCTACTAGCCCGATTGACGAAATTCAAATTGCGTTTTTCATGTCTCAAAAGTGCAATTTAGGATATATATTAGATTTATAGATAGCATCATTCTAACATAGCTATTTTGACACAAAATCGGACTTTTCTGATATGACATGCCATTTCCATATTTCAATTCTATTACTCAAATTATGCCAGACTACCAAGTTATGTAAAAATCGCACGAGTAATTTTTAAAAAATTAGCTCTAAAAATTTTAACTCCTCAATATTAATTGAATTTGGTATATATTTATTAATATCTCATTTTTTATTAAACCTTTTTTATTCTTCCTTTCACATTTCAAAATTTAGGTCATTCCAAATAAAATTCACCCATTATTTATGATTTCTTTTTAAAATTTAAATTTTTTAATAATTTTTGTAAATTTTTCGAAAAAATTTTGATTTATAACCTATAAATTTTTTACCACCATATTAAAGTAGCTGTATTTCTAAGCATAGCTGCAAAAAATTAGACTTTTTTTATATTCACAATTTTCTAAGATATACATGAATTTACATATTTGTACGGTTTGAAATTTGGCATCTTTTTTTTAGCAATAATAATGCCAAATGTGGTTTATGGATTTTGTTACAGTGAATTGCCACAGCTAATTTTAACCTTAAATTTCAAATAAATTTTTACGGAGATTTAACTATATACGAAATTTTTTCCCTCAATGATGTGTAATACATATTTATTAATGCTACATGAAAAGCTATTTTTTATTTAACTTCATTAAATTTAAATTGTCTAAAACTGAGAAAAGTTCATTTGATGTTTATTTTCACAATGTTTTTAAGCAAACAAGACGTTGACACTTTGGGTCATGTCCCAGCTTTAAAAAACATATATATAAACATAAATTTTTATATTAATCCTGTTAGAAAGAATGTTTTAAGTACTAATTTTCTCTCATGTTTTAGATTATATGAAAAACATCTTTAATATAGAAATGTTTAGGTTAAAAACTTTAAATAATATGATTAAGATTTTTTGCACCCGATATAAGAATTGGGTCAGTCAGTGGTACAGGATAAGCACTGCTGGAGTGGTTTATTTCTTTCTCATTTAACAAAAATCTTTCAAGTTAAATATCTAGCCTTTGGACTTTACTTTAAACTTTATTTATAGTTAAAATGTCTAGAAGCTGTCTTCAGCTGAAACTTATATTTTAAAAAATTTGACAAAAATACAAAATTTATGGAATTGTAACAATCTAAAAAACTTTTTTTTTTTTTTTTTTTTTTTTTTTTTTTTTTTTTTGTTTGTCAACACTGAAAATAAGTGTAGAAGGAAATTGGGGGAAGCAAAATTTAAAGGGGAATCTACTCAGTGAAGAGCGACAGGTTTTCGACTGTATGGGTGTATAAATTTAATTTACTTCATGAAACATCATATCGTATCATAAATGGAGCATCCCACAATTTCTTAATCAAATTATTTAAAGATTCCTTAATTCATCCAGTGACGTATATAGATATCAGCTAAAGCCATTTTCCCTCTTGATGAAACCAGTCTTTACTTTCATCTCACGCCTTCAAAATGCTTAGCCTTGTTAAAGGCGCTGAACAAATATTGATGAAAAGGATTGATTTGGCTTATTAAGTTATGCCAAAGCTAGGCTATCTGCCTTAAAGAAGGGTTGCTTACATGAAGAACTTTCTAAGTGAAACCAGCTCATATACACATTACACATAAGAAAAAACATGAAAAGGCTCATGCAACCAGCCCGTTTGCCGGAATTCGAACCCCGGAGCGAATTAAGTATCAGTATTATTTAGTGACTTTATCGCTTGGCTGTTTGTGGTTTCTTTTGAAATGGAAGGCGATAAATTTATTTAAAATTAATGTCAGAAATACCAATATATTTTGAAAAGTTGGATGCTTTTTAATATACTTGTAGAATGCCTGAAAAAAAAAGAGCAAGCCATTAAGAAGAAAAAATAAATTTTTGCATAAAATTTATTATTTTTTAATTTTATGATATTTGATTCTTGCGATTTAAAAAATAAAATATTTGACTAAAATATAAATAACATTTTAAGAAATTAAATGTAGGATTATGAAATTGTGTAAAGCAGGGCACAATGATAAAACTGTTTAAAGCAATGTAATCAGGTCATCCTAAATTAAAATGTGGGATATATCTCTCTTATTTATATATCTTTTCTGAATGGAACATTGAAAAGTGTGTTAACTGTACTTTACTTTTGCTGCATTTTCTCTTTTAATAAATGCAGTTTTCAAACGCATCGTAGTCTGGGTCACAAAGTATTCCTCCAAAAAAAACGCAATTCAAATAAATAAAATAAAATTCTGGAAAATTTATATTAATAAATATATTTAAAATATGCAGTTCGAATGAATGAATAGAAAATTTTAAAACAATTATCTGAAGAAACAATGCAACAAAAAAAAATTAAAATAAAAGTCTAAAAATTCAAAAATTACCTAAAATAATAAATATGACTAAAAAATATTGTATAAAAAAAAAACTATTTGAAAAAAAAATAGTAAATGATGCACCTTTTATTTAAACTACACACTTCCGATGAGTAAATAGAAATTTTTAAAACATTTATTTGAAAGAAACTATGCAACTTAATTAAAATGAAATTCGAAAAAGAAAGAAAAATATTAAAAATAATAACATAAAAATATAATATAAAGAACACTATTTGAAAGAACGATGTAACTTTTTTCCTCTTATGCACAATGTAAAAAGAAAATAGGTCATTTTATATTAAGAAGGTTGCCAAGTGAACTATTCTTGTCACAACCTGGAAAAAAAGGTGCTAATATAAATTTTTTGAATTTCTCTGTAAATTTCGCACCAAATTTTACAAAATTTAATATTTAGGCATAATTTGAGTCATAGAATCGAAATATGGAAAAAAATTGTCATGTAGTTTCAGAAAAGGTCCGATTTTGTGTCAAAATACCTATGTTAGAATAGTGATATATATAAATCTAATATATGTTCTAAGTTGCGCTTTCGAGACATGAAAAATGCAATTTAAATTTTGTCAATCGGCCCAGTAGAACGGGAGATATAGAACTGTCTCATTTTTTCCGCAGTGTACATTTTAAATTTTGATTATATTTGCATAAATTAATGTGTAGTTGAAAGTATATTTATATAGGTGTTTTTCCCCCCAGTCAAAAGGTATTCTCCGTCTGGAGAATAAAACATCAAACAATGGACCAGTTATTCATTTAAATATCCCTGATCCTGAAGTATCATTTGATGAATCATATGTAAACAGCCTTCTTCAAAAAAGTATGCATTTATCTGAGAGCAGGTATGCTTTATTATTTAAGTTCTTCAAAATTAGTGTTAATGAAATGTGAAATAAATTAATGTGCCTTAAATGTGCCTATGCATAAAACATTATTTTTAGTTTTAAAATTATAAATATCCTTGTAACAAACAAATTATTTTTTTGGTATATTTTCTCATACCTTTGTGTATGCAATATGTGCATACATGTATATAGATATTTATATATATTAACTTAAATTTTTGTATGTTTTTGATGCTATAGTTTTTAAATTTTTTACGTTGCTTACTTCGACTGCAGGATTTAGACCGATGACACAAATTACTTCAATTTTTTTTTAAAGATTATTTTAAGTTTTATGCTTTAATATGTGTCCTTGTTAATTCAGAAAGAGGCTGATTTATTCACTTCTTTTGTTGCACCAAACCGTGACGACGATATAGCGAAAGATGTAAATTTCTTATTTTATTTTTGGCTTTGACATGTTTTGCCCCCCTTTTTTTGCAGTTTGCCAGTGTGCTTCTAGTTTTCCAGTTTTTGCATATATTTATTCTGATTGAATATGTGATGAATTTTAAAGATATTATTTATTTTGTATTATTGCTATCACTTGCTGCAAATGAATTAAGTTTTGTACTGATTTTTACTTTGCATTTATTCTTTATATATATATACATACACATATACACACACACACACACATATATATATATATATATATATATGACATAATAAATGTAAGGAGCCGCCCAGTCGGTATAGTGGTCAGGGAAGCTGATTGCGATGCTGAAAGGCCTGGGTTCGAATCCCGGAGAAGGCATGGTTGTAACTGTCCATCCCTTCATAGGAAAGGCGATGGTGACCCACCTATTAGGTGCCTCCATAATAGAGACCATCACATCTGGCTTTGTATAGATTAATGGACTGGGTTACATTTGTAATTGTTCACAATCTGCCATTGGAAAAAATAATAATAAAAGCAAGGAAAGGAAAAGCCGAAACACTGTTGATGCGTAGATATTGAAGAGGAAGCATTCTGATTGCATAAGCTAATGTGTTGACTTTGTAAATAAAACTTGGCAGTCAAGGGGATTTTAATTCCATTTTTATTTCCAACTGACATTATGTGGCCACAGATCACTTGACATCCTAGTTGTGCCTGTTCAAGAACATTTATTTACATTATTGATATTTTTGCAATAGGATGCACCATAGCGAAATTGCGTCCAAGCACAGCACAAACAGAAGCTGAAGTGCGTAGTTATGAAAGATTGAAGCACGCGAAGAGAAAAGTTTTAGTTTGCACTTTGCTGTTGGTCAAGAGGCATCTGCATTAAGGGTTACGTAAGATCACATGATTAATTTGAATGATGCAGTTTAGATTTGAAGTGCTATTTTTAGGACAGATACAGGAAGTTCTCAAATGAAATAGAAAATAAGAGGTTATAGTGAATTAAATTTAGAAGTTTGTTTTCATATTTTTTATCTTACACATTTCTCCCTTTCAAAAGAAAAAAGGCGAAGCGATAGAGAAGCCTTTTTGAGAGAAAAAGCATTAGAGTAGCAAAAATATGAGAAATATAATTTTGAAACGTATATAATATTAGTTTTTGAACAATAAAACTATAGTATGTAAAATTTTGAGTTCAATAAGAATTTTTATTAAAGTCCTATGATGATTTGAGTCCAATCTGTAGAAAGTTCTTTTTTCAGGAACATTCACATTACGATTTTGATACTCCAGAGAAGGATTTCTAAAAACTTTTTCCACACCAGATCACAATTATAAACATTTTATACATAAATACCTATTAGTTATTGCGAATGATCATAAATCTTAAGATTGACACCAATTTTCACATTTATAAGTAATACTTATCATCTGGAATAGCATGATTGAAATTATAGTTTTTCAATTTTATTACTACATTTTACAATTTTGACATTTTACACAAACTGGAAGACCAACAGCAAAGCAAACTTCTAAATTTAATTCCTAGTACACACATCCAGCTGTTTCGGCAAATCCACTTTAAACAGACTCACTCGTGTATTAAATTTTTCATGAGTGGTTAGTGAACTGCGCTACAACATTTCATTATATTAAAAAAATCACACTCCATTATATGAAAAGATAAAAATTCTATATAATAAATAAAGTGGGAGCCTTCAAAGTTTATAGTTATATTACATGACGAGGGTAAAAGGAACAATTATGCAGAGGTAAAACATGCCTCTGTTTCTGAACCAATACTCACTCCCTCATACTTCATATTTAACATACAATTATTGATAATTATAACATTCGTTTACCATAATTCCAAACAAATTTCAATACCTTGTACTCATAATTAAATTCTGATTTAAATTTTAATATGAATTTTCAATTTTCTTAAATCTGGTATTTACATATTAATTTTAGCAATATTTAGCATTCTCCCATTTAATAATTACCTTTAACGTTTTCTTAACCAAACTATCTTCCTTATTAATTAAACTGATATCTTACCAATGATTTTTTAAAGATACGGAATTTGATTTAAATTTTTTTAAGTTCATACCAGCGTCTTGAAGAATTTTAACTGCAGTTGATAATGAAAAAACTTCTTTAACGAAGTATGCTCCAGGGATAAGATCATCAATATATAAGGACTTATTTAACATGTCAACAGCTTTATTATATTTCCTTTCATAACCCTTAATATGATGTTTGATAGTGGTGGACAAAATAAACGGGCTTGTTGTCATCCCAAACGGCACTCGGCACATTCGGAAAACCTTAAAGCCTAACCTATTATTACTATGTCGAAAGAATGATCAAACCACAAGAACCTTAAAAAATTTCTATCTTCACTATCAATTTGAATTTGGTGAAAACCCTTCTCTATGTCTGCGCAAAATGCAACTTTAATACGCGAAATTTTAAAATTATATCCAACAGATTAGGATTTAAATTAGGGCCTGACATCAAACATTTATTTAACGATTTAGCTCCTTCAGACCTAGAGGTGAGGCCCTCATAAACTATTCTTATTGTTGTTGTTACTTTTGCTTCACGTATAACGGTCCTATGAGGCATATAATAACAGTTAAGTTCATTTTCAACAAACTTACATTGTTCAATACTTCTTTTTTCCACTTGTTCTCTAATTATATTATCATATTCATTATATAGGAAATCATTTCCTTTTAATTTATGCTTTAGTCCTAGAAATCGTTGTTTAGCAACAAAAAGATTATCAGCGAGTATGATTTATTGTCCTTCTAAGAGTTTTGTTTCGTACCTGTCGTTATTAAATTTCAAACTGTCGTCAAAATGCTTAATAGTATTCAAATCAGTTTCCGAAAATGTTTTGTTTTCATTTACAATTCCTATCGAATCCAATTTCCAAAATGACTGCAAGTTAAATGTGTTTTCTTCAGCGGTAGATAAAAACAGTGCATTAATTCGAGTATTATTATTTTTTACTTTACCCATCAGAGTATCCAAATATCGTCAGTACTATAAACAAACCATCATTTATCATTGAAATACTTCCTGTTTGTATACGCCAGAAGTGTTCGGCGCCAAGTAGAATATTTATGTTCTCATTAACGGGACTTGTATCTGAAAGTTCCAAACCATTTTTAGTCATAAATTCTTTAATGTTTTGAGATGTGGATGGTGCTTGGAATTCTATTGATGATATTAATTCTGTCCCGAGAGCTTCTACAACAAGGCAGCGAACTATATACACCAAATTCTTATAAGTTACCGCTCTGATTTCCAAACGAATAAATGGTTAGACATTCTTTTCTAATGACTTGCAATTCTAAATCGCGTGCTAACTTTTGGGTAATGAAGTTTCGTTCACTACCGAATCAATTAATAATCTTACGATTCTCGATTTATTTTTGCTTTGAGCAATAACAAAACATGTCTGTAAAAGCACACTATTTTCAGGTTTTAGAGTATTACAGTGGGAAGTAGGTACTAAGTTTTATTTTGTGTATCTGCAGATTTAACATCTTCCATTTCTTTTGATTTCAAACTGCAGAAAAGTTTATTATGATTTTTCTCGTTACAATTTTCGCATGGTTGTATTTTTGACTGACAATTCAATGACAAATGTGATTTTAGAAAGCATCTGTAATAACGACCTTCCCGTTTTAATTTGTTTCGTTTTTGTTCGTCTGAAATTTTCAAACATCTGGCAAATGTATGTTCGTTTGATTTGCAGAATATGCAAAACGTTTTTACCAATGTGTTAAAAGCAGAAGCTTGTGATTTGTGTTTATAATCTTTTGAACCCTTGTTTAGGACTTAACCCCTGTGTATTTATTACCTTTTGAGCTATTAATCAACATACTTGCTTCTCGGCATTCAGGTTTCGATTTTAATGAACTCTATTAATTCACTTCACTTCAATTCAGTGTTTTGTTTTGATGAATTCAATGTTTTGGTTAGATACTCTTTTCCTATGGAATTTAAGAGCTAAATCTTCAGGTAACAATTTAAGAATTATTGGGTTCAATAACTGTTCCGTATGAATCGCTAGTAACTACTTACTTAATTTCGAACACAGATTTGTAACTGATCATAGAGCTTTCTTAACTCAAAAACATTTGAAGAACTTTTAACTGGTTCTAACTGTAACAACATCTGCATGAATTTTGATATAATAACATCTTTACGACCAAACCTCTCTTCTAAACTTTTAATACATATATCAAAATTTTCTTCAGATAAAGCATATCCAGATACACAATTATATGCGTAACCAGATAATAAACTTTTCAAATATGTAAACTTATCTATTTTAGATAAACTTGGATTAGAATGAATAGCATTATCATACGAATTAAAGAATTCGAGCCATTTACTGGGATCACCAGCAAATTTTTCAATATTTAATTTAGGTAACTTTACTGAAGCACTACTTGTAACAACATTGTTACCATTCATAATACTACATCAATTATGAGAGCATTGATCTTTGAGTCAAGCCTTTTAAGTTTCTCATGGTATTCAATTAGCAATTCATATGATGAATTTAGATCTTCTAGATGTTCTTTACTTAATTCTTCCAATAATAATTTCTCAAGTTTATTTAGAAGTGTAATAACTTTACTACGTACAATAGCACGTTTCCTTTTCTCTTTTGCTAAATCATCCATTGTGTTTCGTTTTCAAAGATCGATACCAAGAACAAATAAATCAAAATTCTTACCTTTCAAAAGGTAATTCCCCTTTTTGCGGGTTTCAGACACCAAAATGAATGGTGGTGTTCCATGAGTCATAATTTCTAAGTTGTTTCGTTTTCAGGAGTCAGGTTGGGAGAGCATTAGAATGTTCAATCAAAACTTCAAGATTTCACAGAACATGGAAATAACATTTATTAAAGATAAACTTGGTGATATAGTATATTACTTCCGCCTATAGCGGCCATGAAACATAATCAAGCATTAAAAAATTATGACATGCGTCATTCTTCATGTTCAAGCATCAAGTGGAATATTTTTCATCGGCGCGCATCAGAGCGCCACCTATCTTCCGAAAAGACGGAACACAATCATATCAGATAGATCTGTTAAATTGTCAGTTTTCAATTTCTTTATTAATAGAAAAATTCCTCTCTATAAATGCCTGCTAATGAAAGAAAATAATATAAGCTTGTGTCTAATGGCATCCATTTACTTGTTAATATGATCTTCATTTGTCCCTGGGCTCTGAAAACCCTAGCTATGGCTCTATGTATCATACTACAGCTGGCACTACACATTTTCCCACCTGATGCAATCTCCCCTGTGGATCCTAAATTCTGCTTCCTAGTGCCTTCCTAAATTCTAAAATGTTGCCATTTTTAGATTTTGTTGCTCGATGTGTCACTAAATTCTAAAAATTCTACTACACTGGCTCTGTAACCAGCCCTTACCATATACCATTTTATATTTATTCTGAATGTTCTTATTACTAAAGAAATAAAGTTAGAACATTTTTCCTGTACAATCTAAGTGCTTTTAGTTTTTTAGAATAACAGAAATCTTTAATTAAATCCAAAAATTCTAAAATGAAGAGGAAGCTCACTGAAGAAAGAAACCGATTACTTAAAAAGAAAGGAAATTCTTCTTTAAAGATATGTACAGTTATTATGTAAATTAAGCAGTTGTTTATAATTTCAGCCTTTGCTACAATTTTACCTTTCCGTTTCCTCACCAGAAGAAAAATCACTTAAGTTTAAAACTAAGGTTTTGGAGTTGTAAGACAGAATTTGTTTCTGGCCTCTTTGTGCACTGCATTAGTTCCTACCAGCTATGGTACTTTGTAATTATCCGTCTTTGCATTATCGCTGCTGATATTTGAATTTGTTACGTATTGCTACGAGTTCCGAGCTTGTTATGACGTGCCTCTGAGCCAGCTTAAATTAAAATTAAATTGTGTAGTCTTTGATTACTAGTCCAGATTTTTAGTGTGAATTTCACTGTTCTTGTTTAATTGGATCACCATAAGCTGTAATTGATTTTGCTACCATATTGCCTTTATATTTTAAGGTCTTTTTAAATAAGAGGTTTATTTAAACCTTTATCTGACTTTATAGTTACTTTCAGACATAGCGATAATTTGTTTTGCGTCTATCAGGGGTTTGGGACTATATAACTTTTATCACATGAAGTAAAACCTCATCAAGTAAGTAGTAGGTACATAGTCAAGATATTGTCAAGTTAGGAGGTAAAACATGCAGAAACTAGTGGGAATATTGGTTTGCCATATTGAAACAAATTTCTAATTGTTAGAAAAGATGCTAAGAAAGAAGGAAATTGATATAAATTAGCCAGAATGTCTGGAAATGCTTCATATTAAAAAGATGCACAAATGCCATATAAGAATCAATGTCATAAATTACATGTATTTTAAACTGTGACATGTTAATAGATCTTGATTTTAATTGTGCTTTTTTAACAAATACTTAAAAAAAATTAATTTAATACTGGCCATGTAAATCTATAATGACTAAGGTAGCTAACTTAATTATTTGTAACTAACTGGTCACCTTAAAAGTTTTCTGTTCGTATTAAAGCGAATTATTGACTTTTACTAAGCTTTACCATGCTCACAAGATACAGCACAAAAATGTAAAACTTAATTCTTTGCATCTAGTGAGACTTAAAGTAATACAAAACATTGCATCACATCTGATGCTTTAATGGTTTATTGTAACCTTAAAATATATTAACTGGGTTACAAGCCCAGGAATTCTACACAAAGTTATGACACTAACTCCATCAGACAGGCAGAGCATTAGTAGCTTTCAAAACTTGCCAACTGTGCATACATCAAGCTTTCAGGTTTGTTCTGATCAGCAGACCTCTTTCCAGGCAAGCAGCAGCGTGGCAACAACCAGTGTTCTGTAACAAGTCATGCTGATTATGGTTTTACTTCTCATTTTAACCTGTGCCATTTAACATGAAATCTACCTGCTATTTTCTAAACCTCTAAACTGAGCAACTGTGTGACAAACTGAGACATAAAAAAAAATCAACATAAAGCTAACTGTTATTAAAATGTGAATAAAATGACACTTATCTTCTCTCAACTATATCCAACTGTTATAAGGGTAAAATATTAATGCTACATGTTAAATTTTATAAAGTTGACTTTATTCTCAAATTTGTTTATTAAATTATTTTTAATAATAATGCATTCTACTTGTGGATCTATTTTATTCTCTACTTGTGGATCTATTCTTTCTTGGTATCACGAAAATGAAGTTCAGGCATAGTTCATATATTTAATTAAATTTATTCAGTTCCCATTTTTTATGGAAACTGAATAAAATGATTGACTGTTTTTCATTAATGGTCCTTAAAAGTACTTAATTTCCATGTGCAAAAATGTGTACGAACCCAGGATAAAGTGTCCAGGAGTCAGAGTTCTCAGGTCACTGGAGATCAGTGTTTTTGGCCTTGACTTCAAACATGGCTCAGTTTGTGCAATTAGAGTTAGAAACTCTTCATAAGTTAAAATTTGAATTGCAACACATTTGTTTAAATGCAGTTTCATGGATATAACAGCTGTCTTCCATATAAGACCATGATGTGGAGAAGCTGGCAAATTAATACATGTCCACTTTATTTTTTCATTTTATAACCACCTTTGAAATTATGAGTGTAATGAGAAAATGTGTGTACAAGAGAGAGGAGTTATATTTTGACCATTAACAGCTATAGCCCCCTAATAAAATTTTTATAGCCATCATGGGGTTAAAAAAATGCATTTCAGAAGAGCGTCCTGTAACCTCAGAATGTACATGAAGTTCTGCAGATGAACATTTTCAAACCCCCATCCCATTAGTTACATCCATTAGAAAAGTGTATGCACTTGCATACAGTCATCATTACTATGGGAATATAAAGCAAAGCTTGTTTCAGTGGCAGTGTTTTCATTTGTCCGTAGGTTATATCATTCATATATCACTTGACATACATTTTGAAATTTCAGAGGACATTTTTCCTCCATTGTGAACTGTGAATAACTAAACTAATGAATTTGTCTTAATTTTAAATATTTAAAAATATTTTTCAGGCCTCTCAGTAATCTACAGGAATGTTTGAATTCCTTGAAAGAGGAAATGGTGCAGCTTCAAAAAAAGATTATTGACAGCACTGAGACATCATAATATATGTACTGTATTATAAATAATGAAATTATTTTTATTACTGTAACAAATGTACTTTTGTACTGATGTGTTGGAGGATCTTTCCTGTGGCTAAAAGTAGGTTGTTATAAATATATTTGTTTTTTAACATTGTTTCATACATTTAAAAGTGCAGTCTTCCATCCGAAAATATGTGCTACCATGCTGATAGTATATATTATTTTTTTCCTCTTACGTTTTTCTGTTTATTTACATGTTCATGTTTAATCTTGTTCTTGAACTATATCATTAAAATATAAGAAATGTAAAATAATTAACTCTGTGAATCCATAACTTTTCCCTTGGGGGGGTATGTATATTTATTCTTTTAATGCATTTAAACCTGAGCTTTCAGTTAAAGTACTATATTTTAGTGTAAAAGAAATTTGTTTAAGAGTATAGTGAATTTTGCCTAAAATGAAGTTTTTGAATGTGACTAAGAATTTACTTTTGTACAATTAGTATCAGAAAATGTTTTAAATTTAATTAAATGTTTAGACTTCATATTTGTTCCATAACAGATTGATTTCTGTTTATAAATTTATTTAATCATATAATTTGCTATTTTTTTCGATATCATACTAGTTAATTTTTAAGAAATTTAATGCAGTACTTAATTATTTTTATGTTCAAGTGTTTTATTGCACCTTTTTTTATGTTTATCTAATATTATATTAGTAACACATTTTACTTTCTCAGAAAGGGAGTTAAATGTTTTAGTTTTTTTATACGACATTTTGTGTAAGTGATTTCGTAATCTCCCTGTTATTAATTTTTTAAAATATATTATAGTTTAATAATTAGCTTTAAATTTTTTCTCTCTCCTCCCCACCCCCCTTTTTTTTTTTTTTTTTTTTAAGAAAGCTTTCTGTCGCTTTCTGTTCTTTTTCCCTTCTTTAAAGTTTATAAGCAACTTATTTTTTATCTCTATCTTTCTTTTGCTTCTGTAACCTTTTGTTTTAATTGAAATTTTGAGAAATGGATGTTTTTTTGCAATTATTTAAATGTTCATTAAATTAATAGTTACTATTAGTGGTGAATTAAACTATTGAATATATATTTTTTGCCATTGCCAATCTCTCTGATCACAATTGAAATGTTTGGAATAAACAAAGGATTATTTTTTTCAGCTTATTAAATTTATATTGTAACATGAACCTCTTAGAATTAGAAAATTGCATATATGGGATTACTGCTTTGTAATTATTATTGTTTTATTTGTATAAAAGAATCTATGTGTTAAAGGTCTTTAAATTGTAAAAACTTAGCCACATTAATGCAAATTATTTGAAATCTTAATTTTGCTGAGTATTAAATTCTCTGTCAATTAAAATGTTTAAATATATTATGTATTGTGTTATATTTTAAATTACATTTCACTTGCTTTTTCTGGTTGTGTGCATGTATGTTTAGTATGTACTACATAGACATATTTATGCATATTTTGCACTTTTTTGGGGGGGGTTCATTTTTGATTTTTTCTGTAAAATCAAAGCAATTACAATTGCCTGTTAAGAAAAGTGCTCTTTAAAATGGAAAATGAAGGTGCTAAGGAATAAATATGAAGTGTATTTGCATTTTTTTTATTTTTCTTGAAATTTGTTTGTTAGAGGTTTGGTATTTCTTAGTGTGCAAAATTTTCTACAAATTTTAAAAATGGTAACTTAACAATGTGCTCAGAGGATTGGCATCGGTTATTTTTTTAGTGTTCCAAACAAATTAGTCTAGAATAATAATATACAAACATAACTACTCTTGAGTAACTGATCAACAGATTACAATGATTCTGCAGCACATAACAATATGCAAGAATTTCCTGTGTAGTAATGCTGCTGATCAGTTAAGAATTAGTTTTGTAGGAAACATAATGAAAAGAAATTCAGCATAAAAGAAATTTTGTTGAATTATTTCATTTAAAATTATTTAAGCAATCAGATATATATTATTGAAAATGATAGAAGTACAAGTTGTATAAAAGTTCTCTTTACATTGAAAATCATATAAAATGTATTCTCTAAAGGTAGCAGATTTTCATAATTTATTTAGGTCTAAAAAAAGTAAATTAAGTATAGACTAGAAGAGAAACACACTAATGTGACAATCAAAATCATAAAAACAACGATTCGAAGTTCAGATTTTGAGCGTGAAGGTGCAGTTGCCCCTCGCTTCCTATTTTTAACTTTGCTAATTTTTCTTGTCCTTTGTGTTACATGTTTGATCAGATAGCCTGGCTCAGTAAAAGTAGGCGGCCAGTGTAACTCTGATTAAAATTCCGGTTATAACCACATGCAGTGCTAATAAGGACCACGTGTTTCTAAGACTCCTTCCCCTTTATTTTTCTTCTTTCTATGTATTTCTTTCTCTTGATGAGGAGGGACCTTTAGCTGCCCTCGAAATCGATTGAGTGTTTCAATATACTTACGCTAAATACAAGGTTGTTTTTATGATTTTGATTAAATTAAGTATGCTATTAATTATTATTTGTATGAATTAGCTGGCTTAATTGTGCAGTCATTAGATTTATCAGAGCAGGACACATGAGCCATGCCCTTAATAGGATTCAAATTCTGGACCTCTCGAATGCTAGCTGAACGTGCTTCCAATTATACCACAAAGGCATATGAGAAAGAGAAAGAAAATACCTTATGTAATATTTTTAAGGAATTTATTAAAGTAATTTAGCTAAGAAATTCTTGATATACTAGTGCAATTAACCATGTCTTTTCGGATATTCTAACCCCCCCCTTTTTTTTATTTTTTTGTTTTAAATGCCCATTAGAAAAATTATCTGTGATTCTAATATAGGTAACAGATAGCTAACTTCCTGCTCTATCTGGATCTATATGTCAGTTAGCAAACGAAATTGTCATACCAAAGATTTATAAGCATTTTTCTGTTGAGGTGTCTGTCTATTGATAAATATTATTTTTCCTTCTTTATTTATTTATCTAAAATTAGAATAACTTTTAAATATTTTACCTTTAAGTTATACAATTCAGATGTGCAAATACCAAGGCTCAATTATGTGCTTTAAATACTTTATATTTTCATCAGGTTAGTTATTTTATATGATGAGTATTTTGTATTTTTGTAATAACCATATTTGATTTTCCTTTATAAATATCTAAAAGTGTTTATTATGTTTATGTTGCTTTTTGTTTTGTTGTTTGATATTTTCAAATTAATTTATTTTCTATTTCGAATGAATTTATATTAGTAGAGATTTAAAAATATGTAAGTAAATCCACAAGAACAAAGTTGTTGCATTTGTATGAGAGTATTAGCAGTATAAAATAAAATAATTTTTACATATTGCATAAAGTTAATTTTTTTTTCTTTATATAATATAAACATGCTTAAAGATTTCATTAAGTAGCATTAATGGTGTAATGAAATATAGTAGGTACAATAAAACTGTCAAAATGAATATTGAAAGAAACAGATCATCTGATCCTTTTGGTTTCCTGGTGCGTATGCCATGTTTGTATTAAATTTGCTGTAGTCCGTAAAACATTGTTTTGCTTATTTATGTATTTTTTCAAATAGCTTTTTAATTATGTTCAGGATACTTTTCTTTGTTTACATTAATTAGTTAACGGTTTGAACATACCTAATTTTTATTTTGTCTCAGCATTTGATTAGCTTTCTTCAAGATAATCTTTTCTAGTTTTTTTATACTTTTCAATTCACTTAAACATGAATTATTGTAAGATTATTAATTAATATAATTTCAGTACGGTAGTAAAGTTTGAAAAATAGTAAGACTGATAACATTTTGTATTAAATATGTGACATTTATAGACGTATTTTTTAAACAGAAGAAAGCCAAAGATGCCACTCAAATCTTTCAAGTTCTGGATGATTTTCAGTGCACTGTTTGAAAACCACAACTACAAGTAACAGCTCTTTGGCACAAGAGAAACCATTCTTTATATAACTTCCTTTTCCTTTAGAACAGAATTTCCTTATTATAACTCCATGAGCGGCTTGAACAGATGTCTGAAAAGAATGCTGTTTCTTTCCAGACATGTGTTCTAATCTGGAAGTCATAATTAATATTAGCTTTCATTGCCTGTCAAATTGCAGTTATTATACACACAGTACCTTGTACTAAATAACACAGTGATGTAAGAATGCTTAGAAGTGTTTTGCTGTTCTGCCATAAAGCAATGAAATCTTTTTCTGTACCTCTTAAAAATCAAATTCCATAGATAAAACCTATGCAAATGATTTTCATCTGCATAAAAGAAGCATTATATGTAACTTTAATGTAATCACATACTCATAATAGCAAAAAGCTGGCTTTTGAGTTAACTGCAGGTATGATACAAGTTTTGGGGGAGGTGAAAGGAGGGAAGTGATCAAATAAGGCATCAGGCTGTCACCTAGTAAAAAATTATTCAACTATGTATTTAGTCTCTTGACTTTTAATATTCTTATTTCAAATAGCAAAATTATGTGTAAAATACCAATAACTTGCCATCAATGAAACTGTAACCAAGCAAAGGTTACATTTGCAATTGGAGATGATTGATTAGATTAGGTACGGTTTTTCGTGAGCCTTTGTATATACTGAAAACATACCCAGCTTGTTAATGATGACAGAGAAGCATATGTGACAGTCTGCCATAGAAACAAGATTAATAACCTGCTTTCATAGGATATTTTACAAACTTTGGTCTTAACTATAGCTGATTTGATAAACAATCAGTCCTGGCAGAATTCTTCCATGTTTGCTTCCTGTTCTTGCTCATTTTATTAGTTTAAATAGTTTTTGCTATCTAAAAGTGTTTTCTTTTCAAATTATATTTTTACTGTCATAAAAATAACTGTTTTCTGTCTCATAATTATTGTTAATACAATTTACTATTCTGTTATATTTTATGTTTACCTTTTCTTTGTCATTTAATCCAAAGGGATTGATTTTGTTGAATTTCTTAAATTTGGTAATTAGCATGCAGCTAATTTTGTATGTAAAATGTTGACTTCAACAACAAACAGGTTGGCCAGCATGTGATAGAGCAGTAGTCCTTTTGTGTATTGTGAAGAGTGGATTGAATAAGGATCTTAAATTGAGCCCTTCAGTCGTCAAGTTAATAAAATTTCTGAAAACTGGTGATTTCTCCCATCTGATCTTGATGCATTGAGATCGAACAAACTAAGAGCATGATTACTTATATGATTTATTTTCATATGTGACATGAATATGAAGAAGTTTTCTCCATATAGTCCATCATGAAAGTAAAATGATTGTGAGATATTATTATTACATAATATCAAACTGATACTTTTGGGGGAAGGTCTATAATTGATTATACATACTTGATTTGCCAAGGAATGCATAAGTAGTCTAGTGAAATTTCATAGATATATAATAAATGTATAATTTTCATCTCTTAGCTTGAAAAAAATCAATGCACTAAATTACAAAGTAGCATTGCTGAAGTACTCCTCCTCCCTCCCAAGATGAACTACAAAGAGATATCTTGCAAGAAAATCTCCCAATTTACAATTATATTTTCTTGTCATTTGAAATGTATCACAAAATAGTATGATGTTTTGATCCATGTTGTATTTGTATTATTTTTAATATATGTATAATAACAAAACAGGTTTTATAAAAAGAAAATATATTTATGTCTAGAATTTTCGTGCATTAAGCTGCTGGAAAAAATATATGTATCATATGAAGTTTGAATCATAAAAACATAATTTGAATCCCTGTCTGACAACTTAGTACAACTTTCTATGCATGATTACCACATACCTAAGTGTGTGAGGGCTATTATCAGAAATGGTACCTGTTTTCTACGTGTACAGTGATATATAGACTTATATCCTCAATGCCATTTTAACATATAAATTGCCTAGGGCCCATATTTTCACAAATTTTTATTATTTATGGGAGAGTTTTTGTAAGTAAGGATCTTGAACAGTAGTAATCCAAAATTTTGGTCAGGCCGTCATAAAAATTTTGTATCATCTTGACATCTCCAAATTTTACTGAAAATCTGTTTTTATGAATTCATATATCAGGTGCTTAAGTGAACTGAAAAAAAGAGCTGACAGTGGCAATATATAAAGACTATTTGCAAAGTTTTAAAATGATTTTACTACAGAATTTTTTTAAAAAGCAGACGTTTTAGAATAAAAATTTCTGACTATATGAAATTACATTATATGAAACAAGAAATATCATCATCTACTTTTAAATTTATTCTTTTTTCTAAATATATTTATAACTGTGTGTAAACATGCTATGGATTGAAGGATATGTTTTTTCACTTTAAGAAGAGAAATATTCCTGTTCCATAATCTAAAAACATTGTAAAATGCATAGTATTAAAATTTATAAGTACAAAATAAGCAACAATATTAATCGGAAAGAAAAAACAGTCAATCATTACTTCTAAACACCAGAAGGCATGTACTGTTTCTAGAGTCAAAAAATATATAAATGGAAATACATTGTGACCTAAGAAAGCATTAATTTACCTAAATAACTGCAACAAAAAAAGTCTATTATCAAAAACGAAGAGTAAAGAATGTATAAACCTAGGTTTGCCAATGCAAAGAAAGTTTAAATAAGGAGTTTATGATTGCTGCAGAAATATAATAGGAAGTTAAAAAGAAAAAGAGTGGGAAAAATTGTTAAAATTTACTCAGCATACTATCAAGAGGAAATTTTACATCTGATGTTTACAGAAAAATTCCATGTCTTTATCCCAATGATTCTCAAAGAGTGAACCTTCATCAAAACAACATTTAGTTGTTTAACTTCAAAAAGTACTATTGCGTTCTTTGAAAAAATAAAGTCTGATACAGGTATTGCATATATACCTATTCAACATATTTTTGCAAAACATTTATTATATAGAATTCTGCATAGAATAGATTTATGTAGGAATTAATGTGAATAAATAAATTTTAAAAAATTAAATAGTCTGTTTAAGCTTTCGCATAACGAGATAGTTTGTTAATCTTATGTAATCCCACCACTAAACGTGTTTGTTAATCTTATCTAACCCCACCACCAAACCAGACGAGAGGACTTTTGGCTCATTTAGAGTGCCGCACCAACACTATACATTTACAAACATCTATGCCTTTTCCGAGATTTCAACCCGGGCCTTTCGGAGCGGCAGTCCGCGACACTGTATATGTTGGGCGGCATTACGGAGTGACATTGTTGTTAGTTTGGTGGAAACTTGTTTTTCCTGAAAATTTTTGCACGAAGGAAAACAAAAATAAAAGAGAAAAAAGCAGGAAAGGATTGAGAACGAAGACGGGCCCAATTTTTCTATTAGTTAGTAACTGAAGATGTAAATAAACAAGATGAGCACAAAAACAAAACCTGATTTCGAGATGTAAAATTAAAAGCTACTTGAAGGAGTTCATAAATGCGTTATCCACAGCTAAGTCAAAAAAATTTTTTTGTTTTGCTTTGGGAAACCGTTAGGAATAATTCCGACTGCTAGAGAGTAGTGACTTCGAAAATGACGTTCATCATACAGTAAAGAAGTTGGTGCTTGTTACAGTTTGCAAAATCAAATAGTACTTAGTACTATTAATGAGCAGCATGAATTCAAACGAAACTCTGACGTTGATCCACTTAACACACGATTCCATTTTGTATGGCATACAGCATTTAGTGACAGAGGTTGCATCTGTTATCAAGGAAATGGAGCCTAGGGATCTGTGTAAAATTAAGTAATATGCACCTCTTCTATCTACAGCTTAAATTGTGGCGGAATCCACCGGAGTTCTAGTACTTCTTAATGTTTTAGATAAACCTTTAACTTTTGCCAAAGCCCTAAATATAAGGAAGGGCTCTGGCACTTCTTTTATGTAACTGGACCATAATTACAACAGAAAATTCTTTTGATCTCGAAAATTTTATTTTAATAATAAATAAACCTTAAAAATCATCTCTGACTATTGAATACATGTGTATCTTTGGAAAACAAACTTGGACGAAACTTGAGACTTTAAGGGGGAAAAAGGATCCACGCACCTGTCAAAGGCATCTTCTCCAGGAAGTGCAATGAATTTATGAGAGCGGGTAAATTTTTCGTGACCGAAATTATTAGAAGTACCACCTGGTCGTATACGTACAGCGCTTGCAACTTCCTACGAAAAAAAGCACCTGAAGACTTTTTAGAACTATGAACGCAGGGGGGGGCAGAAAATCATCACTCGTACATAGCATTACATTTGTTCTTAGCTATCTCTTGGATTCGGAGGGGAAAAAAAATCCCCTGTCACATTTAGCTTGACGGCAAGAATTAGCCCACCAGATGTGAATGCTGGTAATTCGGCCCGGGGCTCTAATCTCGGCGAGCAGGCTGGCTGCATGTGCGTGTTCAAACAAATTTAAAATAATGTTTTACTCGAAAGTGTTTAAAAGAATACTTTGAACAAATACTTGCGAAAGAAATGGAAAAGATGACCTACCTTTCGTGAAAAGCATTTCTGTGTAGACGAAAGCAGAAATAGATCTTGAAAAACATTCTCATCCTAGAACGATGTCAGCTCTCGGGGCGTTCCAGTATCCCCTCCCATGATTTTAGTTTAGCCCCAAATCATCCATGGGTGACATGTTCAAAATTCATAAATCCTTCTATTGGAATCTTCTTCTTTGACAAATGGCTTTAAAAATACGAAAAAGAAAAACATATAGCTCGTCTAAGGTTCGGAAATGGTAAGAGATTCTCAAAGAATATTCAGTTAAGAACATCATGGGATTGGGTAGAGAGAGAGAGACGTGTTGGATCTTCCACAGCCCGTGCTGATGGGAACGGAAACGTGGAATCCTTTCGTAGATACAATTCCATTGGAATCGCTTTCTTTCACCAATGGCTTCGAAAATACGATAAAGAAATATCCAGCTCCTCTAAGGTTCAGAAGTTGTAAGAGATTTTCAAAGAATTCCTCTGAAGAACATCATGGAATTGGGTAGAGAGAGACATGTTGCATCTTCAACAACCCGCACGGATCTGAAATGAAACGCGGAATACTTTTATAGATAAGTGAGGAATTGAAAGTGAAAGTAAAAGCCAAATAGAATTCCAAAAGGATGAGTCATGGTCTATTTTTGGAAAGGGTGAGACATCATTCCCAGACAAAAAGAGTGGGTAGTTAATTTTTATAATATTTAAAGACATTATAAATATTAACAAAAAAGTTGTTATATACATATATATCAGCTCAGAATTTTTTTCTGAGCTCTAATTGTTTCCCAGTCGACTTGATTCACAAAGCCAGACATATCCAAATTGTTTCTGTAAAGGGTTCCCATCTATTTAAACCACTCGAGTTTCGGCTTCAGAACAGTCTGTGCTGTGCATTCGAGCTGGATACACGCTTCTCCCTCATGGAGCGAGGTTTTGTGAAGGTGTGTGAACATTTTTCTCAACTGTCGGACATTATTTTTTTCCAGCCGACTCGATCGATGAGACATCACCCTATTTTTTTCAGACTGAACTTTCTGTTATCTATGGAAGTATTTCTTGTTTCGCGTTGGTTCTGTCTGTGCTGTGGACTCCCCACGTTTCCTTATTCTGGGAAGCGTCCACAGTTTTTTGCGTTTTATTTCATACCTGTCACGATTTGTTTGTTCTATTTATTTCAAATGACACCGTTGAGGTTGGAGAAAAGTTTTGTGGGTCTATTAGATGACGGCAAAGCACTCGAGGGCTATTCGCCTTAAGGGAGAAACGCCTTCGTGGAGGACTTTTTAAGGGAAACTGGCTTGTATTCACGTTACACATGGGGAAAAACCACGAAAAACGCCCATGCAGCCAGCCCGTTCGCGGGATTCAAACCTCGGACCGAACTACCAGTGTTTAGCGACATATAATCGCTCGGCCGCTGGTGTGCCCTGAGGCTGGAGAAAAGGACCCGACCCATTGTTAGGTCACTCATATTTGATTCCACAATTATGATCCATTTTATCCCTGACTGGTCTAGCCAGAGGTAGATCACACGATTTTACCTTCTTGAAAGTCATTCGTGAGTGAGAGTTCCTTCTAGAAACAATTTGGATCTGTCTTGTTTTGATCATCGAGTTCACTGGGAAAAATTCTCAAAGCTCAGGAAAAAATTTCTGAGTTACTTAAAAAAAAACCTCTTTGTTAATTTTTATAATGTCTAAGACATTATAAAAATTAACTACCTACCCTTTTTGTCTGGGAATGATGTCTCACCTTTTCTAAAAATAGACCATGACTCATTCTTGGAATTCCATTTTTTAGAAAGAGTGATACATCATTCCCAGACAAAAAGAGCAGGTAGTTAATTTTTATAATGTCTTAAGACATTATAAAAATTAACAATTTTTTTTTTTTTTTAGTATATCAACTTAGAAATTTTTTCTGAGCTCTGAGAATTTTTCCAGACGGCTCAATGAAAAACCAGAGGTGTCCAAATTGTTTCTAGTAGGAACTCTCGCTTATCTACTATTTAAACCACTCGAGTTTCGACTTCAAATCAGTCTGTGCTGTGTATTCTACCTGGATACACACTTCTCCCTCCTGGAAAGAGCTTCTGTGAATTTATGGAAACATTTTTCTCAGCTCTTAGAAATTTTTTCCAGCTGACTCGATCGACGAGACATTACTCTATTTTTAAGAATGAACTTTCTGTTATCTATGAAAGCCTTTCCCGTTTCACTTCCGTGCAGTCCATGCTGTGGACTCACCTGGATACCCATTTCCCCCTTCTGGAAATTCTCGTAGCTCTTTTAGATCCTCGTAGCTCTTTTTACGTTTCGTTGGATATCTATGACGATTTTTTTACCCTATTCCTTTCAAACTCTAACGTTGAGGTTGGAGAGCCATCATCGAAACTCAGCCATTATCTTCACGGATCTAAACCGACCTCTTGAAAGCAGAGCTAAGACATTTTTTGTTGTTGTTGTTGTTGACAGCCTTCCGAGTTCCAAATGCTTAGAAATTCGGACTCTTTGAAGTGTTAACGGAAAGGAGGTGACAGAAACCTTGGAGAAGGGAAATGACTTTAGTCTATAGTGACAGCTGTTTCTCTTGAGAGAGAATTTTTTTTTCCTCTGATCAACCTATTTTAGGGAAAAGAGTTCCGCGAGTCGTTGGAGAAGTTATCCAAAAAAATAACGTGGTTGAGAAGGCACAAAAAAAGACACACTGTATGTCTTCATATAAGAAGGTACTAAGGTAATAAGTTAAAGTATATGTTATATAATATATATATTATATAATCTTAGATTTTTTTTTTTCAAATCTCTCAGAAAATATTTTCCAGCCCATCTCAAAATGAACCTCCTTACACATTTCTGAAAGAAGACACGTTTGTATCTTACTACTCTATCTTTTTCAAATTTCTAGGAAAATATTTTCCAGCTCCATCACAAATGGATCTCGCTTCATCCTTTTCAAAAGAAGATACGTTTGTATCTTCTTCGTTGAAGCATTTTGAGGTTCGCTTCCGTTCCGTCCGTACTGTGCAACCCCCTGGATACTAGTTTCGCCCTTCTAGAAATTCTCGTAGCTCTTTTAGATCCTTGTAGCTTTATTTGCGTAGCTTTTGAAAGCAAAACTGAAAAAATGCTTTTGTTGACAGCCTTCCGAGTTTCGCTTTAGCCATGCCAGGGTGATTTGAGAAAATTAGAACAAGATCTCTCAACACGATCTTTCTCGAGTGTTCAAAGATGGGTTGATTCCTACCTGAATATATGACGGTTTCTTCCTAACAAATACGCGTACGAGCTTTGAAATTTGGAAACTGTGCAGTGTTAACAGAAAAGAGATAGCCTGGAGAACGCAAACGACTTAAGTCCGACTCTTTCTCTTGAGATTCGTTTCAGCGACCACGAGACGTTGGAGAATATTCTTTTTTGCGTTTCACAGGCTCCCTCAAACCCTTGGAATAAAAAAGCTATTGCCATCAGCACAGTGTATTGAAATTTCCCGCACTTATATTGTAATATCGGTTCTAGCTAGTGGCTTGGGATGGATAAGAATTTTCTGAAAAGGACTTTCATACCAAAACTTTCGTTTGAGACCCTTTCAAAAAAGAATGAGACGTTGGAGAAGATATATTTCTCTGAGCTTAGAAAACTTTTTAGACTCACGTGATCCTCTTTACAATGTTAACGTAAAAAAGGGGGAAGCCTGGATCGGCAGAACGGAAATAACTTGAGTCCATACCATTCGATTGAAACTCATTTTAACGAATACGAGACGTTGGAGAAGATATCCAAAAAAAAAAAAATAATAACGTGGAGACTCTCTCGTAAGTGAGAAAGCTAACCATGACACACACATGTTTTAAAATAACCATTCGTTTGGGAAAATATTTCAAGTCTACATAAAACTCATATTTAAGAGTAGTCTCATCTAAAACGTATAGCGAAAAACATGAATTATGTCTGGTATGATAACAACATTAGGAACCAACAAATTTTTATACGGTTTCACTACAAACAGAAAATCTTACAATATTTAACTTGGAAATGTTTAGAAGCATACTCTAAGCAACTATTTGAGAAATGAAAATGTCGCATACCTTTCATGAAAATCGTTTCTGTTCAGACGAAAGCAGGAATAGATTTTGAAAAGCATTTTCATCCTAGAGCAATGTCAATTCTCGGGGCGTTCCAGTGTCAACTCAAAGGATATGTTTTTCCCATTCTTCAATAGACGGCATGTTCAAATTTAATAAACGATTCCATTGAAATATACTCCTTTAACACATTGCTTGAAAATACGTAAAGAAACATCCAGCTCGTTTAAGGTTCAAAGGTTGTAAAAGATTCCCAAAAGAATTTCTCTTAAAAAAACATCATGGGTCCATATTGCGTAGAGAGAGAAAGACGTGTTGCAATCTCCAACAGCCCGCAGTAATCTGAACGAAAACGCGGAATGTTTTCATTGATAAGTGAAAGAGTAGGTAGTTGAAAGTGAAAGTAAAAAAATACCAAATCTTGTTGGCTAGAAAAATTTTTCGATCGAGTTAACTCGGAAAAATTCTGAGAGCTCAGAAAAAAGCTCTTTCCAGGAGGGAGGAGAAGCGTGTATCCAGGTTCAGTGCACAAAACACACTAATCTGAAGCTGAAACTCGAGTGGCTTAAATAGATAAGTGAAAATTCAAGTTCCTTCTAGAAAGATTTTTGCTATGTCTTGTTTTCTTGTTTTGGCAATCGAGTCGACTGGGAAGAACTCTCCGAGCTCAGACAAAAAATTCTGAATTGAAAATAATAATAATAATAATAAAAACCTTTTTGTTAATTTTTATAATGTCTAGACATTATAAAAAATAACTACCTACCCTTTTTGTCTGGGAATGATGTCTCACCCTTTCTAAAAATAGACCATGACTCATTCTTTTCTTGGAATCTATTTTTAAAAGGAATGAGTCATGGTCTATTTTAGAAAGGGTGATACATCATGCCCAGACAAAAAGAGTAGGTAGTTAATTTTATAATTAACCAAAAGGTGCTTTTTTTTAATACTGACCAGAATTTTTTCTCCGCTCTCGGAAATTTTTCACAGCGACTCGCACGACATCACCATTTTTTTAAGAATAGACTTTCCATTATTTATTTAAGCATTCCGCGTTTAGCTGCAGTTCAGTCTGTGCTGTGAACCCACCTGGACACACATTTCCTTATTCTGGAAAGAATTTCTCTCAAGATAAGTTCCTTCTACGCTTTTTGCGTTTCATTTCATATCTGTGACAGTTTGTTTACCTTATTCCTTTCAATCTCTATCGTGGAGGTTGGAGACTGAGCCATCATCAGGCGCCAGTATTTTATTCAACCATCATGGTCCGTTTATCTTTATGGGTCTAGCTATACCTCTTACAGCAAAGCTAAGAATTGTTTTTTGTTTACATTTTTTCAAAGTTCGCTTTAGCTATACCACGGTGGTTTGAAAAAGAAATAGAACTCAACCTTCCCGAGTGTTCAAAAATAGGTTGATTTTAAATTAAAACCTCCAACTTGGATGATGGTTTCCTCAT